GCTCTGCGTCGGCGGAAGAAATAGGCGTCGTCAAAATGATGTCCAGAAATTTTGCAGACGCCGCAAAGGTAGTTACTAGAGTGTTATCTATGAGGAACCCATAGAGCGCGCAAGTTGATGTGATGTTCAAAAAAGTTTGATTGGTGTATATACATCGCAATTCATTTTCCAATTTACCCACGTTTATCATGGGGTAAAATTTGGAGACAGTAGCCAACAAATGGATGGGAAATTGACGTGCAAATTTTGAAAAAATTTTGGGGTTCATGAAAGAGAACGCGGCAAGGTGTTCAGTGCGCAGACGATCGCCTATTTGATTCACCAGAATGTCACAGCATTCCTTTGCAGACAAAATCAAACGCTGCGTTGTTTGCCCGCGGCGTAAAGAAGCACTCCATGTGTCGTCGTATTTTATTGTTTCACGGATACGAGATACAGCATCGTAGAAGTCTGAAATACACGACTGCACAGACGCTCCATCCATTAGCCTTGACTGCAATGCGCCGTATAATACATCCACGTGATAGAATATTGTTGGAGAAAAATGCGAGAAAAAATGAAAACTCACCATCTTCTAGCAGACGCTTTAGACCTGCCGCCTCCCTCACAGAGCGTTCGTCCCAAACCGGAGAGCTCTGAATGCCATTGAAACACTCAATGAGCTCAGACCTAATTTCGGACACGCCCTGCACCACGCGTGATTGGAAGTTCCAACGTGTTGGTGCACAAGCTGGGAGACGGCGGCTACATATCTGGTGAAGGAGGTCAGAGCGCTTCGGCGAAACGGAAAAAAATGAAGAAAACCCCGAAACATTTGCAAAAAATATACGGACGAGAGGGGTATCAAGACACATATTTTTAATAACGAGGTTAAATTGGTGTGCATAACAATGTAAAAAATGCGCATGAGGAAAATCTTCTTTTATATAAACTTGAACACCATGTTTCGACCCACTCATGACTGCCGCGCCGTCATAAGTTTAAGCTATCAATTTTGACTTCGCGTTGTAAGGCTGTAACACTTCTTTCAGTACAGCCGATATCCCGCAAGCCGTGCGATCAACGATTGGTACAAAGCTGTGAAATCTCTCGGTAGGTTTACCATCTTTCACAAACCGAAAAATCACAGCCAGTTGGGAAACGCACGTGATGTCAGTTGTCTCGTCAGACTGAATCGAAAGGAACTGGCAATTCTCAATTTCCAGAGCCAAATGTTGTAAATAAATTTTATACATTGAGTCGAGCAAATCATTTTGGATATCCTTAGATGTCCCTTTCGAAACAGTTGCGGCATCAAGATGATCTCTCAATACTGTATCTAGGGATGCGGTGTATTCCACCATATCTAAAAATACCCCTCTATTAGAAGAGCCAACCAATGAACCCTCGTGACAACCAATGAACTTCAAAACATCTATCAATCGACCGAGTACATGGCTGTGTTTCTCGACGTTTTGGTTGTGCCGACGAATAGAAACCGCGCGTCCTTCATCCAACTGTGCTGCAATATTAACATTTCCGAATGTTCGGTATTTTACTGCATTGTCCAGATGCTCCATAGAAGATTGATGATCCCTGGCACGCTCGGAAAGATGTTTAAGGTCTCTAAAACCAAATTTACACCAACGTGAGTCACGGGCGATAGCAAAAAGTAGGCAATAAAAACAAAAAAGTGCATTTTTGTCCTCGCTGTAAAACAACCATTCGTGTTTTTTATACCAAGTTTCTGCGCAGAATGTACGCCGACGCTTTCCTCCGTCATGGGATTGTTCCAGTGAACAATTTTTTGGTTGATAAGGCCCAAGACGTTGTACCTCTAATTTTTGTTCCAGCGGCAGCTGCGAAAACGGAGTGCGAAGTAGAGCATCAACCTTATTCATTATGAGGTCTAAGGCTAAGAAATGCGAAGCCGGAAAGAAGTGAGGAGCTCAAAAGGAATGTGGAAAATCGAAAGCAAATAGACTAAAGGTCTCTAACTGATTCAAATTGCGAAACAAGCGACAAAAACGAAGGCGAGGAAACTATCAACTCCTCAAGCAACCACCGAACGAGTCATGTCAACCATATGTCAACACGTTATTGTAAGAAACGTCGGCATTGTGTCGTCATAATTTCGGGGCTAGCCCCGATCGGCCCCGATGATTTAGTAAAAGAAACAGAAAACAAACGCGGCGAATGGAAGATAAAAGAGAGAATACGATATACAATGAGCAACCGGGGCAAAATCGGCGTCGCCCCGTCGACGTTCGGCGAAGGCTTTGCGAGCGAAAAATGAACCATGTCGGGAGAATATGGCTAGTGTAGACAGTCTGTGCAACCGATATTGAGGTATTTTTCGAATATTTTTCATTATACCGAAAAAACAACCGGGGCAATGCCCTATTGACGCGCCGCCACTGAGATATAGTCTGGTACTGGTATGCAAACACTGCTGGACTGTAGTACATGCAATGAGTATATATACGCTCATTGAGTACATCAGATAAAATGCATTATGTATTCAAGGTATTAGTTAGTATTTAGTGGTATTTTTCGTGCTGTTCAAAATATGATTTTCTTCCTCATTTTAGATACTGTACTACAAAAGAAAACGGCAATGTTCCACCAATCCGACCTAACGCAGGTTCTAATCCCTGCTGCTATCAGTGCTATAAAACGGATTAAACAAGAAGCCTTGTAGCGTAAAGGTATATGAGAATCATAATAGTTGCAAACAGCTTAGAGGGGTTTTCATATTGAAATACTTTAGCACTTTTCTGCAATTGGAACTTCCCATGTTGGAGACCTCATTGAGGTTTCAATTCATTTTTTTTTCTCAACTATGAAGATCTTTTGAGGTTAACGAGGCATTAATAAATAAAGCTGAGGAATTTGTTTGTTCAGTGTATGAAGAGGATATGAAGAATGTAAATGCTACCAGGGCACGTCTATTTAACACTGGCAAACATAAGGATTATACTCTCCCACCCAACAATGATTCACTGAAGAAGCATGTGGCCCTCAAATCAGTTCTTGAGTTGGCAAACTGCAAGTGTAAGAAAAATAGTCAAGATAATTTATGCAAGTGTGGCAAAATCAACTTAAATTACGCAGATTTTTGTTTTTGTATTGACTGCAAAAATCACAGTACACTTATAGAGGAAAAGTCGATTTTCGAGATAGTGGATTTCGAAAACAAATCAGAAGAAAGTGAATTAGATATTGCAGTTGATTTAATATGTATCATTTATTTGTTTGTTTTTTCGGACATTTGTTAGTGTCGTAGTCCTGTTTCTAGAAATAATATTGCCTTTGTTCAAATACATAACCACATAAACTAAAAAAAGACTACGGTAATTGTAATATTTCTGTTCACTATGTTATGTACATACTGTACATTCATTTAATTTTCTTGACTTTTCCGGTAAATTTCTAAGTGAGAAATACCTGATTTATTTGCGTTTTCGTGCTCACGATGTTAATTTGTGACTTCATTGCTTAAAAATAAATACGTTTGATAGTTTCTATAAAATGGTTGTAGATTTTTATGCTGTTCTTGTTGTAAACTGCTTGTGGTTATTACATAAAATTTATTCGACCTTTCGAGGTCACTCGCGACTCCTGTCACACAATTAAAGTATTTTTGTTGTTGGTTACATGTATGCCATATTTTTCGTAATCTATACCTAATAAATTATGATTGACTGAGGATGTCTGATTTTGGTCAGTCAAAACGTTACAGGAATACATTTGTGTTAGTGAGCTGTAGGGCTCTCGAATTGCATAGTTCTTATGTATGTGTTGTAAACTTATGGTTATTGAATGTCCGGGAACCTCTTATATTCAATTTCGCATCAGGATTGTGGAACAAGCTGTAATGCGTTCGGTATGTTCATTTTCACACAAAACTGAAGAATTTATTTAGTTACCAGATGTGCGCTACGAAACTCATTTTTTGTGCGTTTTCAAGGCTTTGTCTCACGGCCCATATCCGTGGTAAGGATCTACAAGTGTTTAGTAACTTACTTATACTTTTTAACGATGTCTTAGCATAACTTAACTAATAATAACTAAACAGGGCTATGGAAAGGCTGCCCAACTCAACGCAAGATCGAGCAGTAATAACTAAGATTCATCCGCTCGCTAACAGCTGATTCGATTCAATTGTTACGTCATGCAGAAGTCATTGTTCATTGCCGGAAAAGTAGAGAATATAGGACAGATCGTAGCACATATTTCTTGTAATAAAAGCGTCTTTTCCGTAAAACGTGCAACTTTTGGGAGTGGGAACAAGGCAATATTTGTTACTAAATTTTTAAAGAACATTTCAAAACCATTTTTAGGTAGTTACCTGATGTGCGCTACGAAACTCACTTTCTAAGCGTTTTTCAGGGCCTCGGCTCGCGGCCTAAGTTGAGAATTAATATTTTTGCACAAATGCTCTAAGATTGTCAACCAGAAGATTTGTAAACTGCAGATTATTAGTTTTTATAATACACCCAAATTTGGAATAATTTCACCATTTGTATATAGATCGCGTTCTAGTTGGAAGCAATGTTAATTCGAAAGGGATTGTTCACCGAGCGCAGTCTATACAGATTTGCTTAATATTTGCGTACCCTATGTTGGTTAGAACGCTAGAATAAAATTAATTTTGCTAAAAAAATTACCGCAAACTTTGTGTAATTTTACGTCTATCTTTTATTAGCATTTGCAAATTAATAAACTGCTTGTCCAATTTTAGTTACTGTTAAATTCAGCTAACTTTACTTTACACTCCAATAGCATATGTAAAGTTCAATTTATAGTTAATTGCGATTTTTTTTATAAATAGAACATTGCGAAGTCCTAAAATTGTTTATCGAATAACAAACGTCACGCGTAACCAACTAATCCGATTAAGATCTGAAACTACGTCACGACACAACAAGCGTACGCTTACACAAATATCCGAATGCGGTGCATTTCCAAGTATAAAAGCGAGCGATGAAAACTATATTAGTATACTTTTATCGCGACTCTATAAAGTAACTGATTGATAGAATAGTAATATTCAGAGTATTTTGATATACGCTGGATTTTTTATTGGTAAATCCCGAGGTCGATTTAATATCAGGTAATAAGTTTTGAAAGCATAAATCAGAGAAGATAAAGGTATTTGTAAATGTGAGAAGTAAAACAAACTAAGATATAGGTTTATATTACGATATAATACGACATTAAAATTTGACGTCCTCCAGGATAATTTAAAAATCGACAAAATTCTGTTTCAGTTTGTAATAACAAGCGAAAGCAGTATGTGTACCCACTAAGCTTTATACGCTATGACAAAGCCTATATCGCTTTTAAAAATTCTACACCATTTTTATAAAGGTCACAGCTAATTAATTTCAAAAGACTGTTTTTTTAAAACGCTTAGCCTCTGAGAATATTATGTCGCTCGTTAAGCAGCAATTTGTCAATATTCTCTAAATGCATTTGAAAGTAGCCTAATCTGTTGGTGCATAGTAGTAGTATAGGAGTATACCCTATATTAAAAAGCGTATTCGGTATACTTTGCTGATGTAAGTTTTCGGTACATCATGGGGTGTACACTACACCCGGTTAAAAAGCACTTGGTTAGATATATTCAAATAATTTTACTCAAATTAGAGATATTATATGAATTTTGATCATCGTGGACTTTCCATTGCTTGACTCGCACTTTAGCAAACTTGCTAGACCAGATAAAAAAAACTTGTCACAAAAAAATTGGCTTCCAACCCCGAACTCTTCACAATTAATGACACATTGACTCGATGTGCTTATTTTGTAGGTGGTATGACAGACTGTATTTAACAGCGATTAGAATAGTAGAACCTTACGGCTCGCGCTATAAAAACAGTTTTTTATGTAACGGTTTTTATATATAATTACAGGATGCACTTTGATTTTGTTTGTGGAATCATAACTTTTAACCGCGACTTGTTGCAAAACATTTGGAATCCTGATAATTTTTATATTTTACATCAAGAAAACCATGAACATTTTTTTCATTTAGTTTGTACTTGAATACACGAAAACTTCGAAATGAACATCTCGGTCGTTTTTATCCTAATCTACGTCATCACTTTATCTTGGTGTCAAGATGAAACAGTGTTTCACTGCTCACCTAAACCCGGGTGTCAAATCGCCCAGTGTGATTCGGTTGCTGTAGGATGGGACAGACCAGGTTTCAACATTGATAAACATCTGCGTGACAAAGAATATCCAATTACATGCAAATCTAGGAATACGGCACAATCTCAGAATACTGTCAACCTGCTTTCGTTAGTAACCAGAAATGTTTTAGGCAAGCATCAATTTTATTGTTTCCATTCCAGCTGTCATAGGACAATTTTGATATATATGAATTCTAAAAACGCCGAATTTTTGACAATCTGTGTTTATTTAAACATATCTAAAATATTCAAGTCTACATGTTGTATTTTTGCTACTTTTCATCTCGTAGACAAGAACCTTGTGTAAAATAATTCATTCCGAAATTAAAAATATAGAAAGCATTTGGATTCATGTAATTCAAATAAATAATTGTAGCGGAATAATTGCTCAATGTTTGAATTGGGCGTTATAATATTATCTGACTCAAACCATAGATACCATGCGCAATCTATTGAAGTCATAGAATCAATTTAAATTTTAAAGTGAAAATTTGCTTTATATGTTATTTCAGATATCGGAAATATCAAATCAGATTTGGGAGAACTAGAGAAGAACTTCGATGATAAAATAAAAAACTTGGATGCTTTTGGAATGAAGGGTGAGAATTGGAAATTCTTGATATTTAAAGTTCCGTGGAGTATTAAGAAAAATTACCTCACAAATATTCTATGTATACATTTTATTTAAAATAGATTTGTATTTTGCTCTAAAAAAGAAACCTAAAATCTTGCAGAAGGTATTATATTGAAAAAAAAAATCATTTTACCAGAAAGCGGTGGAAATTTTGAAAAACAATCTGCAGAAATTAGCAGTCTGCAGAGGAAAGTTGAAAAGCAGTCTGAAGAAATAATGGTTTTGAAGGAAGGTTGGTTATATATTCGTCTTCATATGACGACGAGAGTAAATTAACCAAGACATTTATTGTACTAGAATAACTACAATGTCAAACGTTTATTCTGCTGCGTTCAAAACAAATGATAAAATTGAATGTTATTTTTTCATCAGATTTGGTTAATGTTCAAAAAACGAATAACAATTTGGTAGAAGAGTTGAATGAACTAAAGGAAACAAACGATGAGATGAAGGAAGGTGAAGTAAATTCTGATCCAGCTGTTTTAGCAAATAAATTTGATGCATTTGTTGCACCCGGGTAACTTCTATCGCTAACGCGTTTGTTGAACGAAGGCAATATTCAACTTTAATAAACTACGGACAAACAAGGTCCTGAGTCATCTGATCATTTTAAAACTTCTGAATCAGAATTTTGAACCAAGTCCCACCGCTGTAGCAAATCACGTTGTAATGCTACGTGGTGACCCAATATCAGGGTGGAATTTTGAATAAAAAAAGGTCTAAAGGTACTGTGAATAAATAAAAAAAAGTTTTCTATGAAAGAAGCAAATTAATGGAGTTTGAAATCAATTCTTTCATTACTTTAAAAAAAAAATTTACCTAATAAAAAACCCACCAAAAACCTATCACGCCATGTACACTTCTTGTAAAAACTTAAACAACTTCATTTAATATTTTATTCCTGTCATTTTTATTCAGATTTAGCTAAAGTTCAGGACGTAAATATTAAGTTGATTGAAGACAACGAAAAAATGAAAACAGGTAAAATTTATCGGATATTATTCTCATTTCTTTTGTAGTTTTTTGAAATATATTTTGTTTGAAGCATTTTATAGAGCATGGAAAACTTTTCTATTCCGGGAATGGATTTTTTTTCAACAGTTCATTCATGCAATATTTAATGGTGAAGTGAGTGGACAACAAGGAAATCAGAAAAAATTGTATCGTAAAAATTGTATTTCTAACACTACACATAAAAAAATAGAAGTAAAGATTTAAATGCATGGCTATGATTTGTTGATTTATTAAGTGGTAGGTAGGATTGATGGTGTTTAACATTAATATTGACATTTAGCGATAGCCTTGATTGAAAAAAATCTCGTTGTAATGGTGAAGCCTCAGGTACAAAATAGATCCAAACAGATAACGAGACCAACACCAATAATTCGAACAACGTTAAATCCGAAAACAACTACTCGAACATGGAAACAAACACCAAAGACCCAAACAACATTAAAACCGACGCCTTCTCCAGGTAAAATATCATGTATCCAATTCTTCACACATTTTAGTAGTTGATGGATCTAAGAATGTTAGCAACTCGTGAAGCTTACATGATATTTTTCTGCATATTTGAAACTATAAAAACATAGGAATTTGGAATTGTATGTCCAAACGCTACGCATTAATTTGAGAATATTGAATTGCTACCTTGAATTAAGGTACCTTCTTGTTTAAAGAAACGATTTATATGGGATTATTATTACTTGATTTGATTTTAAATTGAAACGCGCTATTGTTACCGTTCAGAAAACTGCAAAATGAAGATCAGAAATATCTGTTATTTTGCTGTGGTAAACAAACGAGCAAATGTCGACTACAACAAAGCAGATGAGATTTGTAAAAAACGTAACGCAGATGTTGGTTCCATTCGAAGTAAAAAAATGTATAATGTAATTGTGAATTATCTCAGAGGGAATATTCCAAAGGGAGAGCCGTCAGTTGGTATTTGGACTAGAATGGACTTCAATCCAATGGTTAGTATCTTTTATTTATTCTTATTACACTCATGTGGGAAATTTTTACCAGGCTGGTAAGTGTAAAATCAGACACGGCCATTTAGTACACTCAACAATATATTTTGAGTAACAGCAAGAAAAAAAAACACTACCGATGTAGCTCAAAGGTTAAAAATGCAAGTCTCTTTTTGTACCAAGTTTCAAATGTGGTAGGCAATAATAAAAGAATTGTTGGGACCTCTTGAAGTATGCGCACCAAGATGGCGCACAACCCGAAATCAGGTTATGCGACATCTCGGTGCGCATACAGGAGCACCGAATGTTGTTATATTTTTTAAGTGGTATGTATTACTGCTAGACGACATTATTCAAATTTGGGTTATTCTGGAGGCAAATTTGTCCAAAAACATCAGTTATGTGCAATTCACTGCGTCATATCTGTTTTCCTGATCGTATTAAATCAAACTGCCAAATCAAGTTTCGCGTAAATCTATTAAAGCAGAATTTTCTGTAGTGCTTTTATAGTGATTCATTCAGTAGATTATGACATTTCAAAAGCTTCTCTTCCGTTTTTAGTGAATTATCGTGATTTTGCTCTAAGCAATACCATTTTGCTAATAAAGCAGTTTTATTTTTCGTTACTGAATCGTGAAAAAATATTATGTCTCCTTCTTAGACTCGTAGCGTCACACCAGCGTATCCTTTCGTCAAATGGTTTCCAAGTTATCCATTCACTGGAATAGAACATAAACATCGTTCAAATGTTTTTCTTGTTGTCAATTCTGTGCCGAATGATCATTATCAGGGGATGGTGAATGCTTTGCCCAGCTGGGAACGCCACGGAGTTATTTGTCAAATTCTAATCTAATGAAACGTCGGCTTGGTTGAATTTTTTTTCTATGGATCTATCATCAGTAAAATATGAATCATTGATTATTGATTTGAAATTAACACAATAGATTTTCCTCACAATGAAAAACCACAGCAATAATTAGAAATTTAGTTGCAATAAAATATATTTTGTTTAAATTAATTTGCGTTTGATTTTAAATTACGAAAACTTGCATTTCACATTATTCAAACTTACAAAGGTTTCTCAATTTTTTCGATTCTCAACTTCACAATTCAGCAAACATTTATTATAGTTAAAATTATTCTGATTAAAAAATATGTGATTGAGATTTTCATGGAGTTTATTTGCTAGTTGTTTCGTTTTGCTAATATAATTTTCCAAGTGATAAAATGTTTATTTTTTAAGTTGTTTTGGTTTGCTGATTTGTCGGTATGCGTACCAAGATGACGGACACATAGTATGTGTACCAGAGTAGGCTCAGGCCATAATTTTATTCCAATTTTCTTTATTTAGTTCCATTACGATTTCGGGGACTAGCCAAGTAAAACCCGTACTATTTGTACCTAATATTATGGCCTAACACTAACCTGGTACACATACTACGTCCGGTGTCCGCCATCTTGGTACGCATACTTCAGGAGAGCCGATTTGTTTTTCTTACTGTTAAAGATATGGATTTAAGTCTGAAATACCAAATTTACCAACTTGACCCATCAACTTGGAATAAATTGAGAATCTGCTCAGCATCTTTTGTATTGAATATTATAGGCGTTGTAAAAAAATAGATCGAGGTCTATCATAATTGTCACTTTGTATTTGAGAGTCTTCTGAATTTCAGATTATTCGCAATAGTCCTTGAATACGAATTTAGAAGACGCTCAACTACTACAACTTTGAGATTTATAAAATATCAGAGAAACCTGCGGCAGTAAAACTCGGTAATCCGAGCTGGTCACTCATGCAAGTGTGGCGAAAATGGAATTGGTTATTTTATTGTTTCTTTCTTCATATCGTCTTGGTGTCTGGTGCAGCATTTTCAAAGTCAGAGACGTCGTTCATATCGATATATAATGTCCAATGAGTCAGGTATGGCTATTCCTGATCGACTCCGACCACCTCTGTAGACGTGACGCTGTTTATCATGTCGTTATCCTTGTCGATTGACGCGGGTAGGATGCGTTTTAGTTGCTCTGTTTTATGTCTGTTTCAATGAGTGCATTTCTGATGGTGGATAAGTTCTCTACCGACGTCAACATACTGTAACTTTGTATATTTTCAGGGTTTACATACGGGATTTGCGAGCACTCTTATTCATTGAACCGCACCGCTGCACAAGCTCTATCCGACGTTTGAAGTGCTCAAAAGGAATTATGTTACTCTTCATATACTGTAGTTTTATCGGAATACAATATGATTTATAAAACATTAATGCAACGTAAGCATGGGCATAGACACTCTAACGGTCACCCATACAAGTACTAACGGAGCCAAGCGTCACTATTAAGTATTCATGCTCTACAAATGCGAGTGCGATTTTGGCGTAGCAATACCTAATGAAGCAATAGCTAATGAAGCAATGAGGATAAAACAATAATCTGATTTAAATTTTGTTTCTCTCTTGTGCAAGTTCCTACCGAGTGCGACGTTGTTTAGATCCCGGAATCAAACTAATAATTTTCAAATTATATCAAATAATAGTTTGTTCCGGGCGCATGTGTCATCCGCCAAACTGATAAAATAAATATTCTAAACTTGCTATGATACAAGAAGTTACTACACACGAGACAATCATCTGATAGGACTTTATGCGTCTAGAGAATTATAGTAATATTTGCTTATAAATGAAAAGCCATGCGGTGCGATGCAAGATCAATTCCCAATATTATCTATCTTATCAGGAATTAATCTTGTATCGCGTAGCAAATTGTATTGATCAGAAAATTAGAGAATGAATATTTTTATCTAAAACTAGAAATTATCTCTCGAACACACAATGGGAACGGGAAGCGCACCAAACCAATGAACCAGATCCTTTGAATTTTTTCTTTAGTAAACCCAAGTGCGATATCGTCTCAGCTAATTTAAGCTTGTCAAGCGTGTTCTCGGTAACCGCGATTCGGTGAAAACACTCTTTCTTGAAGCACAACATTGACTTGTTAACAGATCAGATAGTCTTGCGTGAGCTATTCATCATATTTTCGGCCGCTTGACATTTTAAACAACTGGATCTACTGCGATGAAAATACTTGCAATAGCGAAACCAAAACCCGGGATTTTAAAATAATAGACCCGAATCGGATAGTAGAAATATCTGACGAGAAAAAAAATTTGCTTTTTCATTGCTTACTGGACCAACCAATTTTCAGTGGTAAAAAAGATTGTATTTGCGCTAAAATGCTATTACTTTTTTTTCAAAATGTTCTTTGGGCTGTAGTGGGCCAAAACAATCTGACACATGAAGTTCATGAAACCTCAACCAAAACACACCTAATAGAAACAGATTTAATTTAGAATAGAATAGCATCATTCGTGTCATTATATATTGTTATGTCTGAAGATTTTAGACTCTGATCTAACAATAGCTTACAAATATACTTGCTATTTCGTGGAAAGAAATTTTGCTATTTTTATTTATTCATCCCTTTTTTTAATACTATTTTGTTCAAGCATAATTGTGCAACTGATACATACTGTTCCGAAGTAGAGAAAAAACATGAATTTTCTGTATCAATTATATTCAACTGATTATTGATGCGATATTTATTCTCATTATATTGAAAACAACAAAGAAATTGAATTTCATCAATTTTCGTTGTCATTAATCGAAATTGCAATCGTATACTTTTTATACTGGAGTTTAATGATTCGTATTTTACTGATGATTGATCCAGAGGAATAAAATACAAGGCAGACGTTTCATTAGATCTGGATCTCACAAATAACTCCATGATGCTTCCAAGTAGGAGGAGCTTTTAACATCGAGGTAAACATTTATGAGGTCTTTAGAAGGAATTCCTGTGAATGAAATACCTGGAAGCCATTTAACAAAGGACTCTACAGGTGTAACATCATGAGTCTGAAACAAAATAGAATAAAAAATGATATTATTAGGCGAAATCGATTTTTTTTTTAAGAAAATAAAGATCATTGCTTCGCCGATCATGACTTATATTGAGAATTCATGTGAGACCGATTGCAAGCCTGTTTTTTTTTTAAGAAAACCCATATTAATATTGGTCGGTAAATCATTTAATTCCAGCTGTTGGTTCGGCATTGATCCATCTTTTAATGAACATTAAGTTATCACCAGGTTCAAAATTGCGCATGCAATATAGACTAATTCGACCTCGGCGTATAAATGAGTATTCGTTGTCACTTTGTACACCCACAAGGGAATTTTTTAAACACGGGACAAGGCTGAATATTGTCATTCTGTTCCATATTCTGTTTCATTCGATTTAAATGTCACGTGTACATAATCGGACTTAAGATTACGATTACGTGTCTACAAATCCTAAATCGCACCGGGTTATAGGGCGCAAAGTTGATTTACCGTATTTGCTCGTTTTTTAGCCCGGGACCATATTTTTTTCAACTACCTCACTAACCGGACCCTTATTCAAACCGGCCCTTATTCAAGCACGGGCGCTTGTTATTTCCGATCGTTACAATAATTTATATATTGGTATTTCCAGTTTGCAAGTATGATTCAAACGAGAATAACGTAAATTTTTGACTTTTTCTACGCACCGCAGGAACAAATCCGCAAAATGAAGAAAAGTTCTGCGACGACCTATCAATATTGAAATGACGCACTTGGGCGTCGCGACGCCCAGTTTGAGAACCATAGTGTTACGTAATCAATGCTATCTGTTATGTACTTGGATGCCTAAGACGTGAGTGTTATCTACCGGTGCTTAAAATTCAACAGCGTTCTGACAGAAGCGCTTCTCATTTCCTATTGTTCTCTACCACTGAAAAATCAGCTTTTACATCGGGCGGGTATTCAAGCACCGGCCCTTATTTATTTTTATGTTCTGTTCACACGGGCGGCTATTTAAACGGGCCCTCAATCAAGATCGGGCGGTAAAACGAGCATATAAGGTATCCAAAAAAATGCGCATGCAATATAGACTAATTCGACCTCGGCGTATAAATGAGTATTCGTTGTCACTTTGTACACCCACAAGGGAATTTTTTAAACACGGGACAAGGCTGAATATTGTCATTCTGTTCCATATTCTGTTTCATTCGATTTAAATGTCACGTGTACATAATCGGACTTAAGATTACGATTACGTGTCTACAAATCCTAAATCGCACCGGGTTATAGGGCGCAAAGTTGATTTACCGTATTTGCTCGTTTTTTAGCCCGGGACCATATTTTTTTCAACTACCTCACTAACCGGACCCTTATTCAAACCGGCCCTTATTCAAGCACGGGCGCTTGTTATTTCCGATCGTTACAATAATTTATATATTGGTATTTCCAGTTTGCAAGTATGATTCAAACGAGAATAACGTAAATTTTTGACTTTTTCTACGCACCGCAGGAACAAATCCGCAAAATGAAGAAAAGTTTTGCGACGACCTATCAATATTGAAATGACGCACTTGGGCGTCGCGACGCCCAGTTTGAGAACCATAGTGTTACGTAATCAATGCTATCTGTTATGTACTTGGATGCCTAAGACGTGAGTGTTATCTACCGGTGCTTAAAATTCAACAGCGTTCTGACAGAAGCGCTTCTCATTTCCTATTGTTCTCTACCACTGAAAAATCAGCTTTTACATCGGGCGGGTTTTCAAGCACCGGCCCTTATTTATTTTTATGTTCTGTTCACACGGGCGGCTATTTAAACGGGCCCTCAATCAAGATCGGGCGGTAAAACGAGCATATAAGGTATCCAAAAAATAAAATTTCTGTCCGACCACGTCTGTCCATAATAGTGGTTGACTAAGTTGCAACGATCTTGTAGTAACAGAATATTTCCAAGGTGGCTCATCACTATGCGACATTTACTTTACTAAGGGACGAAATGTATGAACTTCAGATCCTAATGTTTTTCTGAGCGTGTTTACATAAAACAAGCCATCAGACACTAACCATTGGATCGATGTGAATTCCTGTCCATACTGATACCAAAATTCGTTCTCCAAGAGTATAAATTTATAGGTAATTTACAACGACATTGTAAGATTTTTCATCTCGAAACAGACCAACATCTGCGTTGTCTCTTTTACAAATAATAATGGCTTCATTGTAGCTGACATTTTGCAGTATATTTACAACAGCAAAGTAGCAGATATTCCCAATCTTCAATTTGCAGATTTCTGTAATTGGACACTGTTAATTTTGAAAATAATATCGTATTATGCAATAAATTTCAATAAATATTTGTTTTATGCAAAAACTAATAGATACCTTCTAACAGGCGAAATAAAATAGCAGTTTTAACTTGTTCAGTTGGGTATGCTGTAGAGACTAACTTGTATTACCCATGTCTTTCCTATTTTAATGATTACAAGAATTTCCTAAACACTCAACAATTGCAAACCAGCTTGATTCAATGCAAAACTATCTATTTTCACTTTAACCAATCACTCTCACACCAAGTATACTCTAGATCATTGGTTCCCAACCGCCGGTCCGCGGACCGGTGCTGGTCCGCGAAGCATTTTTGCCGGTCCGCGAGAAATTTCGGTGTTTTGTTGTTTTATGCCGGCTAAATCGCTGTACCGAAGGCGAGGTTGCGTTGGTTTATTACGCAATTTCTCTTCCGCCATCATATTGCGACAGCTTGGCGCCGAGTAATCATACTTTTCGCTTTTTCGGCACCGATTCATCTCGAATGCGCTCCGATCTCTTTACCAAAGATGAGGCTGCGTTGGTTTATTACGCAATATTTCTTCCGCCGTCATATCGCGACATCTTGGCGCCGAGCAATCACACTTTTTGTTTTTTCGGCTCCGATTAATCGTGAATGCGCTCCATCAAATCTCGCAAGATTCAGAAACCCAAGAATTGGCACGCGTGCTTTTTCTGTTCTGCATGCTTTTCCTGATTAATATGACCATCCAAATAAAACGTTATGCATATTTCTTTGTTCAAACCAGAAAACAGTCAAGAAATGTATATTACTCCAGTAAAATACGGCAGGTGGTCACGAGGCGCGCAAAAACGCATGAGCCGCTGACGTCTTTTCCAGACATCTTGAGCAGACAAAGTAGGATTTTGAGCCTGGTGCCAAGTTACCGACGACTTTTTCATTGTAATGTAAATTCATTTCGTTTGAAGAATCGATCAACTGCAGAGGGATTAATATGATAAACCAGATGAAAAGAAAATGCTTGATTCAAATTGTGATTCTACTTTACAGTCCAGATCGCTAATTAATCGAGCAATCAAACTGTTGTTCGTATTTTCAACGAGTTAATCATATTTTTATTACTTATATATAAAAAATTTTTCATCACTAGCTTTAATTAAAGCGAAGCAAGGAAATTGGCTGCCCGCCGCTGCAGAGCTATACGTGTTGCATAAACTTCCTTGAGGCATCGTCTGCAATCCTATATTGGAAACGAAATAGAAGCAAAATTCTCACTAGAGTTAATTGCGTTTGTACATGATTTGGCATGTACATGTTTTTTATGTGAGATGTTTTATGTCTGCCTTTCTTACGCATAATGGGTGTCCAGCACTGCATTTCATTACGCAAATATAATATGGTATTATGTTTCACCCATTTCAATTTTTGGCCGCCACATTTGATAGGTTTTCTTCGTGTGAGCTGTTTTTAAGTGTGCCTTTTTTGTCTAGATGCATATTGAGTGCCCGACATTGTATTGTATTGTATTACGCAAATATATGTTATTCTTTTCTGCTCCAGTCATTTCAATTTTTGCCGGTCTGCCGGTCCGCGAGTACATTTAATTTAATTTTACCGGTCCGCCAGGGTAGAAAGGTTGGGAACCACTGCTCTAGATCAGGGGTTCTCAAACTTTTTTCTTTCAAGAACCCCCAGAGTCACGAATCAACGCGAACCCCCGGTAATCAGACACCGAACAAATTGGGATAAATTGGCTAACGATTTGTTGAAACAACAATTTATTGGCCAGATGTAACTAAATTAAATCTTTGTGTTGATATTATTGATCCTTTCCTCCGCCTAACTAATGAATTCTTAAAATCTCTCACAAGTTTTATTAAGCTTAATCACTTTCTCCAATGCTCGCAGCACGCTGTTTTTTGAGATTTCACAGTTTGCCTGCAAAGCCGTGATTTCCACATTGTTGCGTCACAATCACAACATCAGGGAAAATTTACGTTTTAATGGACCTATCCCCGAGCATCGACTTCCTTGTTTAGTGTTTACTTCATGAAATTGTCAAATCAGCAAGATGCAAAAAGTGACGTAACAATGCTCCCTTTTCGTATCCGCTCAGACACTTTTCTCACTCAGACAGATTTTCACGCGTGGCCATAAACATTACCTCGTTTTCGCGTTTTCGAACTCTATTCGTTAGTTTTCAGTTGTGTTTCCGAAATTTAAATATAAATCAGATAATTTATTGATCACTCTGTCTTCTTAGGAGTTTAATTGCAGTAATAAAAAATTAGTGTAGAAATAGCTGCGATAGACTGGGATAAAATTCTTTACCGGTACTTTTAAAAAACAGATTGTTTTATGCAATGAATCATAATGATGGTTTGAAACACATACCCTATTTTACAGGCGCCAACTCGCGGAACCACTCTTAAAATATGCCCCGAAAATTTTGCAATGGTAAAGTATAGAAAGAATTTTCCAGGGGTCAAAGGTCGGGAAAAGGTCCATTGGCATCTAGTTTCAATCGACACGCATTTTCCTCTGGTAGTAATGAAGGATATAAAAACTCAACTTCCGACAAAGTACCCCAGGAAATCTTCTCGTGAACCCTTGAGGGTTCTCGAACCCCAGGTTGAGAACCCCTGCTCTAGATATTCAGAACCTGAAAAACAAGGTAATTCAAGTAAAATTAACCTGGAAGAGAAGTTGGTTTTACTGTTGTTTGAATCGTTGTTGTTGGTTCGGTAATTTGACGCTGTGAATACTTCTCTTCAGCAAGTTTTCGTTCAATCCGAGATATCGCTAAATACAATATTAAAAAAGTTCTATTGCATCATCTATTGTTACTATTGAAAGAAATATTATGTTAACTTTTCTATTCCAAATTTTAAAAATGACAATGATCATTTTTGCTTTTACGTTTTATTCAAAATAAGCTCTAAATATTATACTTTAGAACACGCACTTTGCAGTGTAGAGGTCCAGGTCCAAGCTCAATATGTATTTTTAATTTTAATAGTTCCTCATTTGATAAATGTTCAATCTTTTTAACAAAAAACATATTCGTCCTCTGATAAATTATTCCGGTAAATTAATATATTATTTCATCTTTGTTCATCTTATTGTTTGTTGTCTTCCATCAACTTATTATTCATTTCTTGAACTTTAACCAAATCTGATAAAATAAAATCATTGGATTGAATATTGATTTAATTAATAAGTCAGTGAGACAAATCATTAAAATAACGAGTCCAATGATATTCAAATTCTGACTCTGATGAATGAACTTTTCAAGGTGACAAGGAAATGCTAACACGAATGTATCACTAGACAAGAGAGTTATCACATGATTGTTAGGACAGACACCGTGAATAGATAGATTATTGGAATTGAATGTCTCTGAAGAATGAAATATTCATGATTTACTTCTATCACAAAATTCTTAGATGATTATTTAACGCTTTCACTAATTCTTATTTTATGATATTTTTTTCTATATAAAACAACTTCTCTTCAGACACCAACCTGTCTTCAATTCTTTGATAACGACAGATTGTCGAGCAGCTCTCTTCTCAAGTTGTTTCCTTGCAACAGATCGAATTGCATAGTTGTTCATTAAATCAGTAATTTGTTTAGATTGCAGAATAACCTTGTCACGAAGATCGATGTATTCGGAAGATAGTTTCTTGTTCTTGACGCACGTCTCACAATTTTCTGCCAAAAACATTGGGTTTGTATTAATTTTTTACCAAAAGTTCTGTGTGGAACGAAAACAAAAATTACAATAATTATCAATAAGAAAGAGATGATAATGACATTCAAATACCAATGTTATACTCAATTCACTGTTAGATTGGGATATTTCTGAACTGAAGCGTGTGAAAATAACAAAGAAGAAATTTGTTTTATCTAACCCGAATCTTTTTTCTCCAGATTTTCCATGTTTTTGTCGATTTTTCCTTCCAATTCTCTCAATTCTGATCTGATAAGTCCAATATCTGAATAAAAATGTAGGTTTCCTCATACAACCGCTCTATTGATTTGATTAAACAAGTTTCAGGCAATTCAAAATCGCAAATAAATTGAGTACAGAATTCTAAGACAAGAATTATTTATTGGTCCGGGTTCAAAATTGAATGCTATCTCAAACGAGCTACTGATAGGAAGGCAAAGTTAAAATGATGAAAATTGTCACAAATTTAGCAAACAGCAGAAATTGCATTTGCAATGAAAAAAAGTTGCATTGGAAAATGCGCCAAATCGTACTATAAAAGGCGCATCTTTCACTAAGGGTCTTATGCATAGATGTATAGGGGTAAAATCTTCAATTTATGAAAAAAAGTGAGAAAAGTTTTTCCAAAGTATTCATGATAGTAAAAAAGTACTTGCCTAATATGTTCCTGGATACTATAGCAGACGGATTGTCCGTGCTCTTTGATTCGCATGTAATCGGGAACTTTCTGTCATGCAGATGTTCATCGATATTGAAGCCTGGTCTGTCTAATCCTTCAGCAACCGGATCACATTGAGCAATCTTGCAACCGGGCTTGGTAAAGCAGTGAAACACTGTTTCATCTTGACATGAAGATGAAGCAATAACGTTTAACATAAAAACAATTGATATTTTCATCTCGAAGTTTCAGTGTAATTATGAAGTAGTAACTGATTTGGATTCAACATATATTTGTTATATTTGAATTGCAATTCAACGAAAAAATAGATTACTTCTACTTGTAGTGTCATTTGTCTTCAGACTCGTTTTTATAGTCTGCAACATCAAGTTTGTCTCTTGCTAATATAATTTACACTTTAATCTTACTCTGTTTCTCTAAGACCACCCGCGGCAATAGGACGTCTAACTGTCGCTAAATCTTTATTAATTTCGCCAGCTATGAGTTTTGTTATTTTTTTATAACACAAATAACTTGGTTGATGCAGCTTTAATTTTTTTTGTGTTACCTATAACTACTATCCTTCTAAGAAGAGCTCAGGCAAATGAGTCGAGAAAATTTTTTAGTGGAATACGGAAGTTATACCGCGTGACTTCAAAGATTCAACACACTGAATTACTCTGAAGTCTAAATGATGTCGGGCCACGTAACTGCTTTTATACCATTGGTCAAATTTTTGATCGTTTTAGCATATTGACATTGTTGCGCGAAAGATTTTTAAAAAATGAAAGATGCGGTATTTTTCTTTGGTGTGTTATTAAGCAAATACTCCGTAATTATGTTGAGATTACAAATGGACGGTCAATGAGCGTTTGTTTGAAATCGATTTGCATGAGAGAAAAACATTCAGATTATTTTAACCATAATTAATTCGGAGAAATAGACTTTATTGTAGATTAGGAAGTGTTGTGAAGTTCTCATAAATTTGCGTTTTATTGATTTCATTTATGGGTTATGAAGTTACCACATGAGAACAGAATTTTTTTTTTAAATATATGAATGAAAATGTCACACTGATGATGCTAGAAACCTTTAGCCGAGAAATAATGAAGCTGCTGCAGTTCTTGTCGCGATATTAATTATATGGAATAAACCCTAATCAATCAGTAATTTATCAGCGTTTGTATATTTATTAATATCTTACCAAATATTAAAGATACACAATAATCGGTAAAGTAAAGAATTAAAATTTATTTTGTTTATACTTTACTGAATATTTATAAATTGGTATTGGCGTGACCGAGATTTTTATCGTTTACATTTTATCTTGGATAGCGATCAATCAGTATGAAGCCATTATTTATGTTTTGATTGTTTTTCGCTCTAATGTGTGTTAGTTTTTCAATAACAATTTCAATCGGCGTGAACGGAAGTTGTGTTGAACGCATTTAATTACCGTATTCGGGTTAAAAAAGAATTAATTTGGCGTCGGATACATTCGGCAGAGATACTTACGGTCCACGAACAAAAAGCCGGGCAATTAGCGCATGGGATGTAACCCGCCTATTATACTAAAATATCGCTGTGACTGTGAAGAATTACGTGTAAATTAATAAAATGCAATTATTGTCTTTTCTAATACACGAGTGAAAATTATGTTGTGATTTTCTATTGACGTATACAATCAAAATAGTTCTCATTAAACCAACCCCAAACCAACGTGTGTGATGGATATTACTGTACTTTGATAAATTGCTATTAGAGTGTGCCATTTTCTTTAATGAGTGAGTTCACTGAATTTGTAAAATTTCATTTAACCTACTATAATTATATTCAAATTACCGACCTTGAAATATAATATTTGCAATAAATTCAGCGAATCTCTTTACACATATTCTAACACATTAACAATAATTATCACAATAACACATCTAACAATAACTTCAATCATATCGCTACGGTTATATCATTTTATATCTTGCATTCACACAATTTAAAAACTTACAATATTTTATTAATCTGAAGGATTTTAATAAATTATAATTAATTTAATTTCTAGAAATAACGTCATAATATACATTTTATAAAAAAAATATCAACTCAAATATTAATTTTCTTATTTTTAAAGATTGTTCTCTGAAAACAAGTTAGATCTGGTAATATAATTCAAACAACTGTTATAACAAATAATTTAAATTAAAAGTGTCAAGAGTTTTGTCATGTACTCATATTTGAAAACTGTTTTAATTTTCTAGTAATTCTTACTGAAAGAAACAATATTCGATCAAATAAGATTAGGAACAAGTCAGCAGAATGGGTTAGAAAAATGAAGTTTCGCTAAATACAAAAATAAATTTTAGTATCATATTAAAGTGTAATATTGCTTGTATTTCTAGTCTGTTTTACCTTCCAGATCAACATATACCTTCACCTTTGGTTTTTGTTTCAGAACTTGTCAACTGAAATTAAATTACTTTCATTATTACTCACATGATAAAACTTTTGAGCAATTAATAAATCACTCTAAATGGTTTCTTTTTTTAGAACTTTGAGAATCTAGCGAACTATTAAACTGATTGTTCTTTCAAACTGACATTGAAGTTAACTGATTATGGTGCCATCTCTTCGGTTTTCGAATAGGTGCTTGTGGTTAAGTCGTGAGGCATTTTCAGATCTTAATCGGATTATCTATTGATTTACATATGACGATAATTATCGGATGAAATAAATTATAAGTTTACAATTTCTACAATAATAAAACACTGGATTACAATTACTTACATGTATTTTAAAAGTAGACGTAACCTGTTCAATATTACAATATTTCATATGCTGCAAAAAGTTGGCTGTAAAATATTACAAACTTTTCGATATTTTTCCAATAAATCAAATTTTGCGAAAACTAGATCCATCTTGCATAATTGATTACATTGTTCCAGGGTGTTTCCGGCGATGTGTTGATTTACCGCGGCGTAGCAATTTTAGAATGAAGATATCTCAACTAGGGATAGCCATTTCAAATCGAATAGTAAAGCATTCGAATCGATTCAGAGCAAAATTTCGAATAGCCGCAATCTTTTTTTTCCTTTTTCCACCTATGGTCGAGATAAATTTCTCAACTCTTTATTTATTTATTTTTTCAACGCAATTATGACATATTACTCTTTTCTGTAGTGCGATAATGATGAAAGCGTGTTTTTTTATTGTGTGTGAACGCTCTGCCTGAGTGATGTATTCTATGTTTTCAGTAATTTATGTGTCTGGAGGACCTAATACAATAGAAAGTTATATACAGTTTCATATCTTCCAAGTATTCGTGATTCGATTCGAAAAAATATTCGATTTGATTCTGAAATCATCAAATATTCGAAAATGCTCAGCCTGATCTTAATTAAAATCAACGTTACATTTAAAGAATTTCTTCTTCTATGATTACAGAGAAGGCGCAACACTGGTATAGCATGGCGTAAAATAAATTATAGAAGTATTCGCTATTTTCCCTGCTTATTCCGCAGTAATATGCGATATTTGTTTGTATTGTTTTAATTTTACATACCCGTGGTTTATTTGTTATTGCCAACTTATATTTTTTGTAGTGTAATTAAGTGATGTTGCGTTAATTTCTATTTCCAAACTGATTTAGTCATAATAGGACTTTAGAATTTAACGAAATGAAGATTTGAGCAAATGTTAATTAAATAGGTCAAACCATGATCAAAATGTGTTTTATGAACAACTAGTTGCCCCCACGGATTCGACATATAATTTAACAAATTATAGTTTATGAATAAAAGTTCATCGCATTTGTATATATATATAGAAGCAAACGCATAATTATGCTGTACCGCAGTTTTACATGTCAAGTAGATAATCGATATAGGATGACGTTCAATATGGGATAAACAACAACTTCGCAGAATTAATTTTCCTTTTTAGCAAAACTATTTTTTTTTTCAAACAAATCACAATGAATTTTACTATATTAGTATGCTTATGATATAAAATTTGAAGCAATATTAATTTATGTTTAAAACTAAACTTATTATTTTATACAATTGATCTCCTCCTGGGATCCAAACCTACACATAGGACGTCAATAGTCAAGCGAAGTTCTTTGAACATATAACACGATTGATATACAAATGGGTGAATTATTCCAAACTTACACAAATTATAAAAACTACAAATCTTCTCTTTGCAATGTTCAAGCATTTGTACAACAATTTTATTTTTTGACTAAAACACTGGCCCTAACGTGCGAGAAGTACAATGAATTAACTTAAAAGACAAATATTTCAAGTTTGCTCTTAGCAAAGATTGAATTTTATTGAGCAGTGATCAACCCACTAAACATATTTTATCATTTTCTATTTATTCATTGGTTGAAACAATTTAGGAAACGTTTTCAGCTTTCCGACCATTCAATTAATTTTTAGCTTGTGTTATCATGTGATGAATTATCCTAATTCACTCGGTATAGTTAGATTAGCAAAACGAAACAATTTGACAAATTGAAGCCATGAAATCTCAACTATTATTTGATTAAAATATGTCTTTAAAAGAAATAAATTGAAATAAAAATCATTTTTAAGTTTAAATAATGTGAGTTGCAAGTAAATTGAAATAAAAATCATTTTTAGGGTTCAAATATTGAGAGTTGCAAGTTTAAAAAAATTACTCACATATCTGGATACTTGCTATTATTAATCGCAAATTATAAAAATTTTAAATTAGGAATGAATGATTGAATATTTTATAGTTGATAGATCTAGAGATACAAAATACCACCAGGCAGTTTCATCAGACCAGAATCTCACAAAGAACTCTATTGGACTTCCAGGTAGGGTCAATATTTCTTATCTCTTGATAACGATACCTCGGATTGAGATCATTAAAAATGAATTATGCCGAATGCGTCTGGTTATGGAACAACAGAACTCGATTTATTGATATATTATGGAAAAGTTTTTTTCTGATTATACAGCAAACTTTAAGCAGCATATGTAATATTGTAATCTTGAACAGGCCACATCTACTTTTATATCACATGTAAATAAGTGTAACTCTCATGTTGCTTTATAGAATAAATTGTAAATTTATATTATATTTCATCTGATAATTAAACGTCACACTTAAATCGCTAATCCTATTAAGATCTGAAACTGCGTCACGACTTAATTTAACCACAGGCATTTATTCGTAAACCGAAGAGATGGCACGATAATCAGTTAAATTCAATATCAGTCATATGAAAGCAATTAGTTGATTAGTTCGCTAGATTCTAAAAGTTCTGAAGAAAAAACCCGTTTAAAGTGATTTATAAAATATTGAAAATTGAGTAATCATGAAAGCAATTTAATTTCAGGTCATACCTTCTGAAATCAGAATTATAGAAGGCAAAGGTGTATGTTAATTAAGAAAGTAAAACAGACTATAAATACGGAGGTATTACACTATAATATGATATTAAAATTTGATCAATTCGGAACCAAAAACATTCTGTATTTCAGTGCAATAACAAGCGACGCTGACGGCAGTGGATCGGTGCAATGTTATCTCCCATTTAAAATCGCTCTTTTTTTAATTGAATTGGTTTCCGCGAGACTCATTGCTTATCTCCCTTCTATCTGGTCAATCTGTATGCATATAATGTAAGGATGCTATAGCAAGAGTAAAATACCTGATCATGAACTAGTAGAACTATGTATGTCCGAGGAAGTCTGACGTTGGTCAGACGAATCGTTACTGAAATATATTTGTGTTAGTGTGCAGCAAGACTCTTAAATCACTTTGGATAGTTATCTTTCAAAAATGTTTTTCACACAAAAGCTATGCATCTTTCCAAAACTCCGTAACTCAAAATTACTTGTCTTGACTGTAAAAACAGTTTTCAGCAAACTTTTTGCCAACAATTTCTCCCTTGCCAAGCATTAGCAAAGTATGTGAATCCCTTATCAACAATCCCAACTTTGGATCTCAATGTGCTTTGGCTATAAAATATTATAGATTTGACCGAACAAGTTTGTTGACAGTAATGACTGTATCATGATATTCTTTTAACATTTTAGAGTTTCTTATTTTATCGTTTATATGAAACTTATTGTTGCCGTATATTGAAGGTTATTGTGTGTTTGACAAATTTTTTTTTATTGATTTGTGAAGTTGCTTGTAGCGATGTTTACAATCATGTAAGTATATTTTTTATTTAATTACATAAGGAAGATCAAATTATTAACTCGTTATGTTCATGGTAATCATACGTATGATTAAATATTCACTGATTTGTTAGTACTCATTAAAAATGGGGCTAAGAGGTATTTGTTTGCCAGGTTTCGTCGCATTGGATAATGTTGAAAAATATACTTTTCATTCAACATTAATTTATGTTTGATAATGTACTGTAATATTCATCATTGTTTTGCTTATTATTATTATATTGTGGTGAAATGTGTTTTTGCCAAAAAGTATTCATCCAACGCCAGTAATTTTGTAATGTTCACACAGAAAAACGTTTGGGTATTCTGATCTTGTTTTGTTATTATATTCGGATTAGGTTATTGGTGATGACATATACCAGATTTATGTGAATGTAAGAAAAAATTATAGCAAAACTTCTGACATGTTCCTGATATTATCTTATCAAATATTTTTTTTAGGTTTAGGCTGTTGATAGGCGTTAGATGCTTCCGGTCACTTCTTTCCGGTTTTCATATTGGCCTTTTCGGCTGCCTTGCTTTGTTTCACATTCCCGCATTTTTTAGTAGTTTCTTCGATGATTCCAACAGCACCAGGCTGTCGAATGTTGCATGAGTATATGAGCTTAAATTTGAATTCAAATATATCAGGTACAGTTATTTGTTTGACCAAACCTGACTTGTTGTCAGAGAAAAATCTTTAAAAATAAAAAAAGTAATAGTCTATTTTTTCATAAAATGTATCAGATTAAGCATATATTATAAGGTTTGAAATTGCGTTTAATACAAAACATAAAATGATAAAAATGTCGGCGATGGTTTAGTTCAATTTTGATAAAGTATTTCAGGAATACATCCGAGAGTTCACTTTCATGTTACAATATTAATATACCTGTAGCGGTATAATTGAAGTTATTGTCAAGCTCAGAATTATGTGTGAAAATATTGGTTAAATTTGATTTAATTATCAAGTTGCGAAGTCGGTAATTCGAATATAATTGAAGTCGGTTAAATGCGTATAAAATTTACCAAATTCAATGAATGATTCAACTCCGAAACCCTATTATAAATTTATCAACAGGCAATAGTATCCAGCGCGCGCGTTTTATCAATTTGATGGAGTATAAACAATAAAATAACTTTTATCCTTCGTTTAATTGTCTTTGAATATCCGTCATATTTGGTGAGTTAATGATAAATATAGCCACGTTGACAAATTGCCACTAAAACCGCATTCCTTATTCTCTACTGAAACTTGATTTTTATTTTACAGCATCATCATTGTGACACTTTCGCATATTGGTTAGGTTGATTAGAACGTTTTGGATTATATACGACAATTATAAATGACAAAGCAAATTTTTACTCGCATATTAGAGTTGAGGAACTGAACAGCTCATGCATTTGAATAACTTCGTAACCCAAATATCTGAATCCCATTATTAATAATACGAAACCATTTCGCAATATTCCTGATTGTCAATTGAGTCTTCCACGTTACCGAATTTATCACGTTCAAACAACCTAAATATGTTTCGATCACGAATAAATAAAAAAAAATTGAATAATCCATCATGTATATTATTTGTAAGCAAGATAACCTTCCTGCAATGTTGTTGACAACATTAACTCACGGAGGATTTATTTAATATTTTTCCTATTTTTCTGTGTAAAACTATTTTATGTTTGCATATGCATTTTAGTAATTTACTACTGTACTCCTTCATAGTCTCAGTGATATTTAGTAGTATAATAACCGGTTACATCCCATGCGCTAATTTCCCAGCTTTTAGTTTCGGGACTGTAAGCATCTCTGCCAAATGTATCCAACGCCAAATAAATCCCGTCATAACCGAATACATTAAAACTAAAAACAGCTCTGGCGATTGTTTTTAAAGCCAAATCAAATACGTTTATTACAACCTTCGTTCACACCGATTCAGATAGTTATTGAACAACGAATGCACATTGGATATAAAAACAATAAGAGCAATAATCATTTCATACTGATTGATCGCCATTCAGCCTAAAATATAAACGATCAAAATCTCGGTAACGCCTATACCAATTTAACAAAGGTCAGTGAATTAAAAACAAAATAAATTTTATTTTTTCATTACAGAACATTGTATATCTTTAACATTTGGTAAGATATTAATAAATATACAAACGCTGATAAATTACTGATTGATTATTTTTTATTGCATATAATTAATATCATCACAAGAACTGCAGCAGCTTCAATATTTCACGGCTAAAGGTTTATAGCATCATCAGTGTGACATTTTCATTCATATATTTAAAAAAAATTATGTTCTCATGTGATAACTTCATAACCTCAACATGGAATCGATAAAACGTGAATTTATGTAAACTCCACAACATTTCCTAATCTCTATTAACGTCTTATATTTCCGAAATAATTATGGTTGAAATAATCTGAATGTTTTTCTCCCACGTAAATCGAGATTAAACTAAACAAACGCTCATTAACCGTCAGTCGGATTCTCAACATAATTACGGAGTATTCGCTTAATAACACACCAAAGACAAAAAACGTTAAATTTCTCGAAAATATGACCAATAGTACAAAAGCGGTTATTTGGCTCGACACTGTTTGGAGTGATGCAGTATGTTGAATCTGTGCAGTCACATGGTATAAAGTCTGCAATCCTTTAAACATTTTCTCGTCTTATTTGCCTGAGCCCGTATTAGAAGTATTGCAAGTATAGCTTTAAAGTAGAGCGGTATCAGTCAAGTTAATTATGTTATAAAAAAAATTACAAACTCATACTTAATGTATTAATGTCGCTAATAAAGAATTAGACATCCTATTGTCGCGGGTGGTCGTAGAGAAACAGAGTAAGATTAAGTTTAAATTATATTAGTAAGGAAAAACTTGATGTTGTATACTACAAAACAAGTCTGAAAACGTCACTACAAGTAATGTATTTTTTCGCGAAAGAGACTGAATATCTTTCCACGGCTGGATATCCTAGACTTAGAATACAGTGTTAGCGATTTGTGATTGTTCTGGAACATCTTTTAACATATTTTGATATTTCATGTCTTCTTTGATTTTATAATTTATGTAACGTTATGTGAAACCCTGACTCCACCTCCCAATCACTTGATGACAATAACAGGTAGCACAATTCTTCCTACAATAAAAGTTATGAATTTATTCTTTGGTGATGCCTGTTGTGATCACCCCTCAGCAAAACCGTGGGTTCCTATTTAAACCATGCGCCATTGCAATCTAAACGTATATTGCCCATTGTTAGACAATGCGCATCTCACAATGGTATTGTTGTGATACAGGCCATCATCTACTGCCATCTCCATGGTTACCGAGTTAGTGGTATTTAAAATTGTCTTTTCTTTTGTTGAAGCGAGCGACTGCTGGTTTGTAGCAGATCGCCTCGAGATATATATATATTTTTTTCAATTTACATAGTTTATTTTTTTTATCTTTATAATATGGTGTTAGATTTTTTTATGGGGGCCGCTGCTCGATAACCAGTACTGGATTCCCGCGTCTCCTTCACCCTTGATTATGGCCTATTTATAATTTATTGCAATTTGTTTTTCCCCTTTTTTCAGTATGGGGAAAATTAACTACTCATTACTGTGTATGAATCACAGCAAATACAGTAGAGACTATGTATGAGGTGTACAATATTTGGAAACAAAAACAATGCACGTCATGCAGTGCTTGCATTTGAAATATATAATGAATCTAATTCAATTACTACTTAATAGTTACAGTAATACTTCGAGATGAAAATCTCAATCGTTTTTATCTTAATAAACGTCATACTTTCATCCTGGTGTCAAATGAAGTAGTGTTTCACTGCTCTCCCAAATCTGGCTGCCAGATGGCACAATGGGATCCTGTTTGCCGTAGGATGGGACGGGCCAGGTTCCAACATTGATGAACATCTGCATGATAAAGAATTCCCGATTACATGTAAATCAAAGGGCTCCGCGAACCTTTTCAATCTTTCTACTATAGTGTCCAGTAACATATTAGGCAAGTAGTTTTTTACTATTATAAATACTTGGTGACAAAACTTTTCTCACTATTTAGCATTGAAGATGTCACACTTATACCTAAAAAATCTCACTGTTAGATGCGCATTTTATTGTACGATTTGGCGCATTTCCAAATGCAACTTTTCATCATTGACAAAATGCAATTTTTTGCTGTTTGCTTAAACTGAGACAATTTTCCTTATTTCACTATGTCTCCCTATCAGTAGCGCATATGATGTAACATTGAATTTTTTGAACCGGATCATTAAATAATCCCTCTCTAATAGTTTTATCCCCAATTTATTTGTGGTTTTACGTTGTCAACCGAATCAATAAGGCGGTTGCACGAGAAAACTCATATTTTATTCAGATATTGGACTTATCAGATCAGAATTGAAGGAATTGGAAGGGAAAATCGAAAAAAACGTTGGAAATGTTGAGAAAAAAGATTCGGGTTAGATTTAACAAATTTCTTCTTTGTTATTTTTACTCGTTTTAGTTCGAAAAAAATTTAATCTAACAGTGAATAGGGTCTAGCATTGGTATTTGAATGTCATTAACATTTGATTCTTATTGAAAGCTAGTGAAATTTTTGTTTTCATGTCACACGGAAGTTTTGTTAAAAAGATTTAATTTAAACCCAATGTTTTTGGTAGAAAATTGTGAGACGTGCGTCACGAATAAGAATCAATCTTCCGAATACATCGATCTTCGTGACAAGGTTGTTCTGCAATCTAAACAAATTACTGATTTAATGACAAACTATGCAATTCGATCTGTTGCAATGAAACAACTTGAGAGGATAGCTGCTCGACAATCTGTCGTTATCGAAGAGTTGAAGACAGGTGGGTGTATGTTGTAAATTTGTTTTACATAAAAATAAAATTAGATATAGTTAATTCGTGAACTTGTTAAATAATCAGATAAAAATATTGTGATACAAGTAAATCATGAAACGAGAATATCGGTCAGAGACCGAAGACTTGTCGATCGAAAGTTAGGGGATCCCCCAAAACAGCGCTCTTACTCCATAGTGACACCTTGCATATTTCATCCAAAATCAATAGGCTTCTGGTCCGACATATGATGAATGCACATGCAAAATCTGGAGCAGATTCAATCTCGCTTTCAAGAGATATCGCGTGCATCTAACAGACAAACAAACAGACGAATACCTATCAACATACTTACCGATTAAAATAGATGAGTAATAAGCTCCAGCATAATTAGTATTTCATTTCTCTGAGACATTCAACCCCAATAATCTATCTATTTACGGTGTCTATTTAATTTTTAGGTTAGAGGCTAACGTTGTCATTTTGAATTTTCTCCTTGTTGTTGTGAAATAATCGCTCTTCTGTTTAACTACAGAATACAAATGCTTCCAAATTTTCAACGGTTAAAGATTATTGTTGTCGCTAGAAGGTTATTACTTTTACTTATTTTGAAATATTCTGTTTGATCTATGGAATTCGTTTTTCACTTCAATTTGGTGTGTGATGACGTCTCTATGCCGTGGTTCTGTGACCGCATTCCAGCGATCTCGTCGGACTACCGGTACTGTAAAGTTTCGCATGCATTATATAAGCAGCAAAATGACTCAACAGCAAAAATACGACAAAGACTTAAAATTAATCCAAGTTAGACCTTGGTATCAAAAAATGTTTGGAGGACCGCGGATAACTCAGAGAGGCCACAGGCACATTAAATTGGGAACCACTGCTCTGTGACACATATATGTTATCGTTTCCTTGTCACCTTGAAAAGTTAATTCATCAGAGTCACAATTTTAATATCATTGAACTCCTTTTTTTTTAAAGGTATGCCTCACTGACCCAATAATTAAATCATTATTATCATTATTTTATTCCAATGTTTTTATTTTATCAGATTTGATTAAAGTTCAAGGAATGAATAATAAGTTGATGGAAGACAACAATATGATGAGCAAAAGTTAGTTGGTGTTTTTAGAAGCTATTTAGAAGCTTAGTTTACCTGAATAATTTCGCAGATGTCAAATATGTTTTTTTTAAACATTTATAAAATGAGGAATTATAAAAATCAAACATTCATCTTGAGCTTGAACCTGTACGCTAGTCAAGTGCGTGATCTAAAGTATAATTTTTAGAGCAGTTTTTTAATAAAATGTCAAAGTGAAATTGATCATTGTCATTTTTTTAATTTTAGAATAAAAGGTAACATTATATTTCCTTCAAAAGTAACAATAGATGATGTAATTGAACTTTTTTAATATTGTATTTAGCGATATCACGGATTGAACAAAAACTTGCTGAAGAGAATTCTCCACAGCTTCAAATTACCGAACCAACAACAACAATTCAAACAACAGTAAAACCAAATTCACTATTAGGTATTTTTTTACTAGAATTAGCCTGTTTCGTAGAATCTGAATATCTAGAGCAGGGCTACTCAACTATTTTCACCAAAGGTCCGATTATAAAACTTCAAAATTACTGGGGTCCGCACATTTCAGAAAAATTATTTTATGAAATATACAAATGCATTATTAAACTAAAATCTAGAGCAATGATGGCTCACAAATTTGGCCACAAATGTCGCAAATTGGTACCAGTATGACAAACTGTATAGGAATGTATGTTAATAGTATCGAAATCATCAAAAACTATGAGACGATGCTTATGCTGCAGACGCGGTACATATTGAATGGTCGAAGATCCGGATTCGGACCGCGGCTCGCCAGTTGAGTAGCCCTGGTCTAGAGGATACTTGGTGTGAGAGTGATAGATGTGATAGGACAAAGCAATTGATATTTTTGTATTGAGTCAAGCCGTTTTTCAATTGTATAAAGACTTTCTGTTACTCATCAAAATAAAGTAACAAAAAATTACCTGTATAGTCTATTCAACAAAACCATTTAAGAAGGTAATTTTACTTACTTATTGTTGGAAGGTACCTGTTAATTCTTGTATTAAGTAAATATATATTGGAATTATTACATAATACGATATTTTTTCAAAGTGAACAATGTTTATTTATAGAAGACTGCAAATTAAAAATTGGAAATATCTGCTACTTTGCTGTGGTAAATTTACTTCAAAATGTCAGCTACAATGAAGCTGCTGAAACTTGTGAGAGACGCAAGGCAGATGTTGTTCTGTTTCGAGATGAAAAATCTTACAATGCTGTTGTGAATTACACAAGGAATACTCTGGGAGGACGAACTATGACTTCTATATGGACAGGAATTCACATTGATCCAATGGTTTGCGTCCTATAGCTTGTTTTATATAAACACGTTCCGAAAAGCATGAGGATCTGATAGTAATTAACTAGAGGTTTTTACTTGTCGTCCATGTTAATGAATCGCCTTGTTCGCGGGCCACAATAGTGCCAAGAACAGTGCATTACAAAACAAACTTTTTCATTGTCCAAACAAATTGATCAATATTTGTCATTTATCAAGCTAAAACCACAAAAAAACTAACTAAAACGCGCGGAAATCTTACTATACATATATAGTTCTTTCACATAATTCTCTCATTTTGTTTTGCAAACATTTTTTTCAATTGCAAATGCAAATGTCCTAATTCATCACGAATGGTATCTTCATGTTCTTCCACCATCTCTCGTAAAGTGTTTTGTGAAAAATCGAGCTGATATTAATAGCCAACGACAAACACAACTTGCAGACATATCAAGCAAGCATTTTGTGTTTTCCCGCCCATATCCAGTTAAAAATCTATTTGAATTGACCAGCTTTCTTTTCAGATTCATGTTTAAATAACTAACAAGTAACGGTAGAATGATTGATTACCGAATTTTACCAAATTTGAGATACAGGATTGTAATTACTAAATTTTCTGACATAGGCAGCATTTTTTTGTAATACTGCTCAGGCTGGTAGCAAATACTACTCAACAGGACTTATATTGTTTTGGCCAATTAATATTCAGTTATCAGGCATAGCCAACATAGGCTAATAAATTCGTCATTCGATTTTTATTTTTCCATGAAGCCTATTTTGTTAGGATATAGGCTATTCCCGACCAAAAATATAGAATCCCAGTTAACAAATTACTCAGATTCGCTATTTGCCTCAGTAGCCATAACAATGGTCAACTCAGTGACATTAGTGATGTAACAATATGTCAAAAGATTTTTCTGGTTATTTTATGACGAAACAGATAAAGAAACGGCGGACCACATGTGGCCCGCGGCCCTGGGTTTGGACCACTTTGGTTTAAACGATGACGATGATAAAAAATTTGTTTACTAATTGGTTACGATTATATTGAATACTTGGTGCCTTCCCGATCAAGAACTTTTTACAATTAAGTATATTCGTTAATCATGATCGACGAAGCACTGATACTTAATTTTATCAAAAATTGTTCGATTTTGTCCAAAAATATCATTTTTCATTTTATTTTTTTCAGACTCATGACGTTGCACCTGCAGAATCCTTTGTTAAATGGCGTCCAGGATTTCCATTCACAGGAAGAGTTTTTAAAAATCGTACAAATGTTTATCTTGATGTTTATTCGAACCCGAATCGTTTCCAAGGGATGGTGAATGTTCACCCTACATGGAAGCTTTTCGGAGTTATCTGTGAGATCCTGGTATAACTATACGTCAGCCTGGTTACATTTTATTTCACTGGATCTATCATAAGTAAAATTAAAATCATCGATTCTCAATTTAAAATTTGTTGTTTCGGTTTTGATTTGGAAAATAAATATCGCAACAATACTTGGGTAAATTTACTTGATACAAAGAATGCATTGCTCGCTAGGTTGAATTTTCATATTATTTTAAACTGAACTTGAGCCTGTAAATTGTAAATTGAATCAAATATGGAGAGTACTGTAGTCCCTTCTCTTCCTACTTTAGATCCGCATCAGTTTCCACAAGGATGCTTTTACATCTTTAATTCCAAATAAGGCTCTCCTCAAGCAGCCACTGATCTAGGTCAATGACCCGGGATTTCCTAACACTGGTATTATCAAATTTTTACACGCGCGTAAAACACGGTGAAAAATGTTCACTTACTTTCACAAGTTGGGGCCTCAGCACTCCATGTTCCGTCAGCCTCACATATCGCATTTTTCTTTCCTTTGACTCCGTTCATATTAAAACCATCGTCGCATTCGAAGTCGCAAACGGCTCCTGCAATTATTGATTTGTCCGGTTTGTTGCATTTGACTGTACCGTGGTCTAATGGTTTTGGTTTGTCGCAAGTTTCTGCTCAAAAAAACCAAAGTAATTAAATTTGTATAATTTTTTTTTGTAAACATTGTTCAATATGTTAGTTTAGAATTTTTGATTAATGGCGCAAAAGAACATTCATGATATGCGCATATAACATAAAACAACAAAAACAAAAGTGAATAAATATATCAAAAACGAGAGTGTTACTGATACTCAGAAGGGGTGATTGTTGGTCTTTCATACACAATAAATAAAGTGTGCTGAGGTACCAAGAACAGGGTCGGTAGTGAGGAATTTTCAAAGTAAGGGGGGGAGGGGGGTCGAAATTTATAATTGCCCGTAGCATCTAGCGGATTTTCCAGAGTCTTGGTGGTCTAAAAACGATTTGGGCGGAAAAATTATAGGTACGGAAAAAATATAGGTATGATAAAGATTTTTCTTCACATCCCAAAAAAGGGAATCCCGTAGTATCTGTATCAAGTTAGAGTTAGGCCATAATTATATTCCGATCTTCCTTATTTTGGTTATTTTACGAGTTCGGGAACTGGTTCGGGAGTTAGCGGAGTGAATATACCTCCTGTTCATGAGTTTCAATCGCTTTACACAACTTGATGTAAAGTAGGCGAACAAAATTAGTTATCTCCATATTGGTGCACACATGGAGTGCCATTTGTTACACCGATATTCTTACTTATTTTTGCACGTTGGTGCCTTATGGCTCCATTTTACGACACCTTTGACTTTTTCCTCACAAACTGTCTTCTCTGAGCCAATTAGCTAGTGTCCACTCTTACATTTGTATTGACATTTGTTCCGGCGGTTGCAACGACGTTATCGCAATCAACAAATCCATTAACTGGCTTTGGTGGGGGTGTGGCTTGCATTTTGCTGTTGTAGAAATATTGTGAGATTTAAAATTGTAAGTTTTAAAACAAAATGGCGAATGTTGAAATTTCGAAATAATTTTTTTGCAAAATATCACATGAAAATAAGTAAACTGGTATCGAGTCGTAATTTGGAGCAATAATATTCTAAGTATTTCGACAAATTGTTACAGGGTTAAAAAACAAAATGTTTCAAATCAGCTCTTTCAAATTTTGTTCCTTTGGGTTATAAGCCTCAATATAAAGCGTACACGTAACTCATTTCATATTCGTTACTATCTTTTTGTTTTCTTTTAGCCGTGTGTCTTGGATATGCTAATTTGGTGAGCCAGCGCGTGTTAGAACATTTATACAAAGTTTCGTTTACTTTTAAGAAGTCTTTATCCGGTGCTAAGATAGAGTGAGAACCGCCAAACAAGGGTGAGATCAATTCAGGCCAGTAATATGGCGTAAAGTATAACACATTGTATCGTTGGATTCAATTCGAGCTAGTATTATGGGTTAAGCTCAGCGGTTCCCAAACTATGGGTCGCGACCCACTGGTAGGTCGCAAAAGGAATCTTAGTGGGTCGTGAAAAGATGTAGAAAGCTTTGATTAATTATACTGGGTATTAGGATCGGTGCCGACTCGAATACGTGAATCTTCAAAAAAATGAAAGAAATTAAATTGAATTGAAATTCTAATGTGTGAAAGTTTCCTTTTTACGATCTTCCCAAAGGAACAAAAATTTGCTACACAAAAAATGACCATGTGCCTTTTTACGCATAGCAGTTTTGTACACTGTACAGCACTTCTTACCGTGTTTCCCCAAAATTTAGACAGGATTTAGATTTATTTTCTTTTGAAGAATAACACTATGTTTTTTTTATAGGAGGTCTTTTGTGTTCATTTATCAAAAATAAAATTGTAGAAAATCACGAGATTTTTTATTAAAAATTATATAACAACCGAAATCCTTTGTTTTTATTTGTATTTCCTATACAAAAATCAAGTGACAAATATTATAAATGTGATTGTGACATCACACAATCTTGAATAGTGGTGTGATCTCCACCTTATCTCAGGTCATTGAACCTTTTTCTCCCACCCATTTTAAATTTATTTTAAGGGTAGGGTTTAATTAAAATCATTTTGAAAATTCACATTAGGTCTTATTTTCAGGACAAGTCTTGTTTACGAGGAAACACGGTGGTTTTGCGATGATCAGCCATTGCTGTGTTCTGTGTTATATCATGAAAAGTTAAATGGCTCTCCATAAGCTGTGGTAATAAATAGTGGTTCCCAACTCTAAAAAGTTTGGGGACCACTAGGTTAAGGTATAACGCACTATAATGTTGGATCTATCTCAAACTGTTACTATAGCGCAAATTGTACCGCCTTCAATTTCCATCTCTAATGGATACTACTGAATTTGTCAAAATCCCCATGCTCCAAAAGTAGTATCACTGTGTCTGCTGTTACAGAGCCTCATACGTTGTGGAGGCATGAAAACATATAATAACATCTTACGTATGCATTTTGGTGCTTTTTCACTCCACGTTTCAGACTTTTCGCAAATCGTTTTTGGTTTTCCAACTCTTTCGCATCCTTCCTCACATTTAAACTCGCATTTCGATCCGACGAATAATATATTGTCACATTCGATGGTACCATAGGTTGGAGGATCTGGCTTCTTGCATTTTTCTGTTATATAAGATTTAAATTCAGCATTTCTTGTAGGTAAGTCGAACTCGACCTAATTGAAGGTTAGAAATATCTCGAGACATTTAAACAAATATTTCAACTCAAAACCGTCTACCGATTCCAGTTTAAAAAAAAATTTAATATTTTTATAATTTTTTTTTTAATGTTCTTGAAAGTCTGAAATTCAGATTCAGTCTAGTAGGAACACCAAATTTTGGACTCCGACCTTCACCTTCGGAGTGTTCAAAAATACGAACCCCGAACTCCGGATGTAGTGAAAATACACCAAACTACGGATCCGACTTAGTAGCCCCGGTTATGACTCATATAGTGTCGATTCGATTTTTAACTAGGGCTGGGCTTTTGAATTAAATCGAGTGGTAAATTTGAATTTTGAGATTAATTTCGAATCTCCGCCATCTTGTTTGTTGAATGGTTGGTTCTATGTTTTCATCAATTTATGTATCTGGAGGATCCATTGCAATAAAAGCCACATACAATTATATATCTTCCAAGTATTCGAGTTTCGATTCTAATTCAAAAAAAATATTCGGTTTTATTCTGAAATCATCGGATATTCAAAAATTCCAAACCAATGCAAAAATGTGAGATTTGAGAAAAGCACTTCCGCCATGTTTTTAAATAATAAAGTAGTAATCAGCCAGTTAGTGTCAGAGTTGATTGGGGGTTAGGAATGATTTTAAAAAATAGTCATTTCAGCGCAATCTGCATTTCTAACCCTAATCCTAACTGAATACTTACTAATTTGCTAATTTTTATTGTTGACGGGGGGTATTTATTTAACGGGGGCTTGGTACAAAAGATACAATATTAATTATACCAAGTGATTCAAGAGTCTTGCTGCAAAACTAACACAAATATTCTTGGTATGGCTAATGTCAGACTTCCTAATATATACATCAAAGTTAGTATGCAGCAAAATCTAAATACAGTACAGGAAGGCTAGATTTCAAATAACTGAGTGAAACCGCGGGCTGCACCTTTATTGAACATAGGTTTCCTAGTAGCTACAGGCACAAAAAAGGTATAACGTCATAGGCATAAATATTAATTGAACTTAGGTAGAAGCTTCGCAACGCAAAAGGATTAAAATAATTTACACACCCAACTCCTATATCTTTAGTTGTCGTCGATAAGTATCTCAGAAATCAAACTTTTGTATGTCTGACTAATTGAGTGCTCGGGACCTTGCTTTTAGGCAATTTTTTATTGAAAAAATAGTGGTTTTCCTCTTTTGCCTAACTGTATTAGGCATGACAGCTTAAAAATATCGTTTTCTAATCTGTCACCTCCATGGAATTTCGTTCCAAATTATTCAAGACCCATACAAACGACATTGGTCGCGGTGGCCTAGCAGTTTTAAAGTCTGATCATGTTGACATCGTCATTAAAATTTTTTGTGTATAAACATTCTTTTTTAAGTGGAAAGCGTGAAAAAATGGCATAAAAAAATAGACTTTCTTATTTTCTTTCAATACCTCAACTTTTTTTTTTCTGAGTAATTTTGCGGCCTTTTTGACTGAATCTGTCGCGTCGCCATCCGTTATTACCCAGACCATGTCGGGCACTTTTTCTCCGTTGTGGTGTTTCAGCATTGCCGTTCTTGTGTAGGAGAGAGCGGATCCAAGAGATGTTTCTGTGGGGTTGAATATTAGGGTAGTTATTTGTTTTAAACAACCGTTTCACGCCTTCACTAAAAGTAAGGCTTAAGTACACGTGGCTTTGTGGTTCAAGATTTAGGCTTTGCTGAATGATACCGTAGGTCAAAAATTTTGAATTCAAATTCCATGCCCAGCTTTTCGCACAGGTTGTATTTAATCGAGTTGGTCTCTATAATTATTTGATGCGCATCTTTTATGAAGGTATTAAACGGAAATGTAGGTAAAATAGATACTTTTCAATAGAAATGTATTGTAAAGCATAATTCTAAAACAGTCTACTCAAAAATTTCCGTGAAATATAGTTTCAATAACTTTTGGTATTCATAATCACAGACGCTCATCCCGGAGCGTCTTCAACTTCTAAGTGAATACGGGTGACTTTTCTTCCAATTTTTTTCTTTTAAATATTATATATTTGTAATGCCTATAAATAGATAAATATCGTGATATCCGTCGTTTATGTTTTTTTTTGTACCATTAGAAAGCCATCAGAATTCCAGACAATGCTTAATAGAGTACATGGGAGTTTTATATGACCAAGATGCTATTTTTGTCATTCAAATATTGACTCCTCTAGAAGGCTATTCATTGGACTCTCATCTAGATAATAAGTTGTGGTAGGGGTGGATATATAGTCCTAATCGCCACATAAATTGTCACCTCCGTATGACACACTGGGCAATCATATAAAAAATTAAAGAATACATAGGCCATCTTTGTTGGAGCGATATTTTACGCTGTCATAGAGACAGCGGGTCTTCCTTGTGTTTACCAATTATTAACTTGCATGGCAAACAATTCAGGTAATAATAAATGGAGTGGTAAATGAAGTAAAAATGTCGCCGTTTATTCCATTAAAAGAGTTACTGCATATTAGTCGAAACAAAAGATCTTTATTGATTTCGTCATTGTTTAATATTGGAAATTATCTTAAACTAAAAAAAACACAAGCCGTGCTCAACCTCATCCTGTCGAGAAACAGTATTAAGAAAAACGACATATTTTACACAGAAACTGAATTTATTTCTTGTTAATTCGAATTTTTGTAACATCACTATATTCATGCTTCTGAACTTAGTAAATGAATCTCTAAGCCTTGCTAAATAGATATCAAACACAATCAGAGTTTATTACTAGTTAATGAGTTCAATATTAAACAACATTTTGAGATGCAAGTAAAAGAATTATTGCTATTTTGTTTAACAATTATAATTTATTTCACTTATTATTTGATATTTACTGTTATTTGCTATAATTAGTACAAATTACTAACGTATAAATTTTAAACAGATATCACTGATTTATGTTTTATTGATGATAGCCCAAAAGAATAAAATATCACCAGGCAGACATTTAATCAGATCAGGATTTCACAAAGAACTCCATTGCTCTGTCGGGTAGGAACACCATTTCTTATTCCTTGATATCGATTATTCGGGTTAAAATCAACCGCAAGGTATACATTTGTATAATCTTCATTATCAATTCCTGCGGATGGATAACCTGGACTCCATTTAGTGAATGAATCTGTAGGTGTGACGTCACGAGTCTGCAAAGAAAAGAATATTTATGTATCGCCTATCACAGGATAATACTTGCTCATGCATTTTATTAAATATCAGAAATGACAAATTTATCAGTCAAAATGCGACAATTGTAAACGATGGTCTTTCTAGTGAAATATTGTCGCTCACGCGTTGTCAGGTGAAACCCCGCGTTCTTACACTTGGCAACAATTTCACTGAACATTTAGCAGTTCCGTGAAATACGAATTTTCTAATATAATGAGATTAGGTTGTTTTAAATGACTATAATTAACCCCAATGTAATTTTAAACAAGTTTTCCATAACAAACGATTTTATTATCAGGGTCAGAGCACTTCACGCCCGTAGCAGCAAGCTGGACCAAACAGCGCAGGATGATCGTGTGACTTAGTGGTAATACATATTGCTTAAAATGCGTTGTGTTATTGCTCATGCACCTTTTCCAAATTTTGTCTTAACTATGAATATTCTGGCTACAATTGATATGGTCATTGTGTGTACAATATTTGAGTCTGGGGTTAACAAGTAGTGGGATAGCTGAGTGACAGATCAACTGAAACTTCTGTTGAAAAGTTTAATGTTACGATGGCGCACAAAAATGTTACATAAATAAATTTCAGTCTAAATTTTCTCGAAATCCAAAACAGGCAACCTCTAAATTTTTTTAAAAATACTGCCGCCGCAGTTCCACTATTAACCAAAAGTACTAACCATTGGATCAATGTGGATTCCGGTTTATATGAGAATCCAAGTTCTTCCTTTTGGAATATTCTTTCTCAAGTAATTCACAATCGCATTGTAAGATTCTTCATCCCGTGTTAAACCAACACTCGCGTTGCGTTTCTTACAAATATCTAGTGCCTTGCCATAGTAGACGTCATCTTTAACAAATATCACAGCGAAATAACAGGTATTTCCAACCTGTAATTTGCAGTTTTCTGAAATGCAACGACAGTATATCTAAAAACATATCGATTGTTGCTGTGAGCAAGATGTGTAGGCCCTTTCAAATAATGCTGTACTTATATATATATATACCAATACCTCAATACTTTCAAATCAAAATATCTCACTTGAAAAATTACAATGAAGTCTTTAACGCAACGCAGATGTTTTTTTCTAGTTGTAGTTATGCAGAAGAATATCCTAAAGCATTCATCACTGGCTGACATAACTCGGCCCCATCGAATGCAGAAAGATCGTTTTATTTTAGAATCACTGTGACGCCATTTTTTTATAACAACTATTCATAACATTCTGATTGAAAAAGAAGTATTTACCTGAATTTGGTTTCAATGTTGTCGTTGTTGTTGGTCTGGTGATCTGTCTGAATTTGTTTGGAAATCGCTGAGGCGTTTCCGACGCAGCGATTTTATGTTCAATCCGTGTGATTGCTAATTTTTAATATAAGTTAATTTTTCAGTGTTACAATTGAAAATGCATTTGTCAATGAACTAATACCAGACAGGCGCACTCTAGTAATGTCCTTGTTCTGATTTGTAGTAACAATGTCATTTTGAACTGTTTTCTGTAATTTTTTTTTTTTTTGTTCTATACTTTTCAATGTTTTTCTACTGTCAAACGCAAAATCCCAAGATCTCACAAATTGTCATTTGATAATGACGTATCCCGTTTGGGAACCTTTTAACCACGTTGCTGGAATACTTATATGACCTTGTAGATGTACCATCACCCCTAAAATATTTGTCAAGATGTTCTCTGCCCTGTAAAATATATCCCGGTTAAAACTAAAATGTCAACAAAGAAAATTATTTCACAGATTTTTCCTTTTTTCATATTTTCGTTGTCTTTTGTCAACTTATTATTCATGTCTTGTACTTCAGCCAAATCTAATAAAAAATGTCATTGAGACGCTCAGAATAAAATTGACAATAATATTTTTTTAGTTTAATTTATACAATATAAGTGCAAGAAATGTATAATAATTCTTGTAGAAAGCTGCATAAGTCAGGGTAGTTTTTTACCAAAAGGCTATTCAAAGTCAGTATATCAGTATATATAACTAACCTTCCTTCAATTGTTTAATTTCATTAGACTGATTTTCAACTTTACTCTGAAGATTGCTAATTTTTGCAGATTGTTTTTCAACTTTGCTGTCACTTCCTGATGAAAATAAAATATATTGATTAATATACCATAAACAGTCCTGGTGAATATACGAATAAAACTACAAATTATTTACAAAAAAAAAGTACGCGTAGAATATTTGTAACTACATTTCTATCTATTCATCAACGAAAATTATTTGAATACAGTATGTCAGATTCCAACCGTCATTTTCAGAGCCATCCATTATTTTCATTTTTTCTTCGAAGTTTTTCCCCAGTTCCGTTAAATCTGATTTGATATTTTCGATATCTGAAATAAAACTTTTTGAATTATTGATATGATTTCGAATGAATTTTTGAGACAAAACAAATTACATAGTTGAGTAATAAATAAAAGGTTGGTTCTTGTTTTGCACTTGAAAAAAAAACTTGAAATATTGCAGATGTAATGAAAAAAATATCAACATTTTTTAAAGAAAGGCCCAAGTTGGGATAAGTTTTTGTCGCATTATTTGCTGTTTTGTCATTTTTCTGCTAACATAATAAATGTGAAACTTTACAGTACCGATATTTCGACGAGATCGCTGAAATTCGTCACGGAACCACGGCACATGTACATCATTCCGCAAAAAGTTGATCAGAAAAAAAAATTTTATAGAGCACACAGAATTTTTCGAATTGAGTAAAAGTAATATACTTCTACAGAAAATAACAAAATTTCGAAACATTTGTTCTTTTATTTAAACAGAAAAGCGATTATTTCACAACAAGAAGAAGAATGACAACGTTATCCTATAACGCAAATCTAATTGCTATTCCTTCGTGGAAATCAGTTTGAGAACCAATGTGTTAGAGTACCCAAACAAAAAGGTTCAAACGTCATCGTTTTCAGAGATTGAGGTTTTTCTCTTTCAATAAATAATGCTCGTCAAAAACTCAATTTCGTTACAATTCAAAACAATAATTTTATGTAATAAAGAATAAAAAAATATACTTGCCTAAAATATTCCTTGATACTATAGGAAACAAGTTGACAGTATTCTGAAATTGTGCCGCATTCTTAGATTTGCATGTAATTGGGAATTCTTTGTCTCGCAGATGTTCATCAATGTTAAAACCTGGTTTGTCCCATCCTACAGCCAACGGATCACATTGTACAATCTGACAACCAGGCTTAGGAGAGCAGTGAAACACTGTTTCATCGTGACAACAGCATGGCGCGATGACGTAGATTAAGATAAAAACGATTGAGATTTTCATCTCGAGGTTTCTGTATAGTTAAGAATTAACTGAATGAAAAAAGTTCAAGTTTAAACCTCTTTATATTTATATTTCAATGTGAAATAAAATCTATGGTTTTTGCCATAGTTTTCGCTAATGGGGATAACTTATTCTGAGAGAGTTTCACGTACCGTGGTTCTTTAGCACTACAAATCCAAGTGAATTTCATCGGAGACCTAGTTATTATTGGCGGCAAGGTTAGGCCATGGCAAATTCAGATTCTGTTTATCACATTCAAATTTCATATGGAATTTTCTTCGATCAAAAATTGGAATTCTTGTGAAGCAGTTTTAGTGTTTAGACGAATGATAAATGTTCTACAAATTTGTCATTTCATGGTAACATAGCATTATTATTTCGTACTTTTCCTGGCTGAATAATATCAGTATCATAAGCTGTTTCTTGTATTCAAACTCTGAGAAACTGGCAAACTATTCTATTCTACCAGTTGCCTTCATATATATAAATGACATTGAATTAACTGATAATATAGTTTCCATCGTCTCGCTTTTATGCTTGAAAATATACCGCATTCAAATATATTTGGAACCAGAGGCTTGTTATGTCGTGACGAAGTTTCGGATCTTAGTCGGATTTGCGGTTGCGCGTGACGTTCATTATGTGATAAACAATGACATCGTAAAATTAATTTTAAAAGTATTTTGCAATATTCTATTTTTAATGAAATTGCAATGAATTTGAAAATATAAGTTTACATATGCCATTAAAATCTACACGTAATTCAACAGAAATCAAAATGTATGTTCTGTTTATGGCGCTAAAAATGATAATAAAAATGACTGAGAAATTACTCGAACTTTTCGGTAATTTATGAATAAAACAAAATGTAATACTTTACTTATTTAACCTTCTCCTGAATTTCAAACTTACGAAGAGTTTGCCAATCGCTGAGAAAAATTTTGTGGGACATCCGTACAATAACGTAAATGAAAGGACTGTTTGAAATTAGAACCATAAGAATTTTTTTGGCGGTCTTTGTTTGAGACCCAAATTTAAAATTTTCTGAAAGCAAGATTCCGAGCCTTCAACGAATTGTAAAAAATAATGAAAGAGAAGCTGCCGAAACTCTACAAAAATATATGAGTCAGTCATGTATTTAAAATATCTGTAGATTTTTCGAAATTTGGTATGCCGGTTATTCCGCGTGGCTATTAAGAAAAAAATGTGGTACACTATTTCCATGAAGTAAGTTAGTTCAAAAAAAAACTTGTTTTAATATGTTGTCCTTATGTCGTCGTATATTACCCGTTAGGCTTCCCAATCATACTGAAAGACTATTGGATGTGTCGGAAACGATCATTTAGTACAAAATTGCCACAGTAACGGTCTTGGACGATGGGTTATGAGCTTATGGCAACTTTAGTTATTCTAAAAAAAAATTTCCTAAATGATGCATTACTTGCTAACTATTATATGACTGATAAAATAAAAGCAATTTGGCTAAAAATATTTATTTTTATTGCGTTTTTATCTCGTACTACTGACATTAGGCTTGAAATATTTTCATTTTATTTTTAACTTTTGTCTTGATATATTGACGCAAATACCTCTTTACTTCAGGATTGCCTATCACTAGTGCGTTGAAAGAGTCAAATAAAAACGATGGCAAATAGGCAAATAACAGACTGTTACAGAAAAAATTGAGCAGTGTTTCCCATATTGAAGATTTTAAATTAAAGGTTCCGCGCCAATTCCAATTGAAATTGTTTTTTTTATTATCATTTTTAGGATAATCTAATCTAAAGTAATTCAACTTCATTTTACCTCTTTGTTTTGTCTGTTAGGACAAAATATTAGTTGACCCAGAATCAGGATGAAATTAATTTGCGAATTTAGGCTCCAAATTCATTCTTATAATTGCGCTCAGCGATCGTTCCCAATGATCGCGCAATATCTTTCGAGTTCGTGGAACAAAACGCACAGTTCTTGCAGGAAATAAAACAAAATAAATAACGTCGATGTCCAACAGGGCGCAATACTTGACACGTACGTAATAATAGGAACCGAAATTTGGATGTAGATAGATGGCAGGAATAATCAAACCAAAATCACGGAAAATACTTAAGCCTATATAACATAGTAAAATTTAAAAAGTCTGCTCACAAACTCATCTATAGGGCGGGCCGCAAATAACAGTCCCACGGGCCGCGGGTTGGCCAGCCTTGATCTATCGGATTGGCCCAGACTCGTCGTATTTTGCGCATATACAGTAACTTACTCGACTGTTTAAAATCACATGAGCGCCGACTGAAACTGGTCCAAGGCAATTTTTTGGGTTCCTCATTAAATTAACTAAATATCAGGCGCGATCGACCCGAGACGTATACAGTATTTTTTGTGAATATAGCTTATCAGTTATTGAAATTTTTCATATTGTGTATATATTATATTTTGTATATATTTTTCCATATAGTGTATAATCGGTAGATACTGGGAGTATATAGACAAATATTCCAGTTCGTATCCACTTCGCAATGTCGAGCTATGCCGTTGTGTAGTTATTCCATCGGAAGCGCAAATACAATGATTATTTTTTAGATTGTCACATTACCAAAAAAAGTTCCACCATATTTATGATTTTTCGTGCGTGCGCAATCTTCTCAAAACGCAATAAATTGATGCATTATATTGATATTCACAAATATGCTCTTGTCGAGAAGATTTTTTGATAAAATTTTGCTTCAAATATAACCTTCGATCTGATCAATTTGATTATGTGTAATATATCTATTTGTCTATTTGTTATATATCAAATGTTTCAGCGATTGTGTAGATTGAGTGTCGACTTTCTCCATTGTTTGCATGTGTCGTGCAAAATGCTTAAATTAATTTTACGATGTCATTGTTTATCACATAATGAACGTCACGTGCAACCGCAAGGTAATGAGGTTTTCTATTATATACGTTAAAATTTGTATTATTTTTATTTTAATTTTCATGTGTTTGCTCTAAATTTTGCTGTTCGTTCTCTATTTTAGATGGATAGGAAATTAAAAGATTCTCGTTGCATGACGTAGTGAATATATTACTATCGTCAAAGTACGGCTCTGAATCCGAGGAATCTCTGAATTCTTCGTCTTCATGCTGAATAGGGGAAATCAGCCAAGTGACGAATGCTTGTAATCGAAGCACACGAAACAGTGCCTCGGGATATATTAACCAGTTGTCTAATTTTATTGTTTATACATTGTTTAGAATAGGTAATAGTTATAGGTACAGAATGATGCAACAGTACATCTCGTATCTGGCGTATTATGCACACAAGACTTTACATGGTACAGTATATGAACTAAACATTGACCATCATTTTACTTGAGATTATACTTGATTGGGTGATATAGGCGGAGCCTGGCAGGTGTTTGTGACACGTTTAGCTCTCATATGAGTTGTTAGTTTTCATGTTGCAAATAGTCTTGTATTGACGGTATTAAAGTTGTGATAAAAATACGGTATGACTTATATTAAAATAATGTTTAAACTTCAGGCTAGGTCTTATTTTTGGGGAAACACGGTAGGTATGATAATGAACAAAATGTCTGATTTGCGATCTGTGAGGCCAGCATACTTTAGTCAGTCATCAATTCAATTTATATTTATAGATTGTACCTCATTATGTTAACAAATACATTTGGTATCACATTCATTCTTTGTATTGGCTTTACGAAGATTCAACGGACGACATGTATGTTAGAAGAGACGACAACATACGAAGAGAAAGCAAGAGATAGAATGTTTAGTGCTAAAAACATAAAATCAAAGATAGGTGAAAAAACAATACTTGTTGCTATATTTGTACGAAATAAGGAACATTCGTTGCCATATTTTTTACGAGGCCTTGAAGATTTGAAATATGATAAAGAACTGATGTGGCTGTGGATTGTTTCTGACCATAATCGAGATAACTCTACAAAGCAACTGGAAGCCTGGGTAGAAGTTTTCAAAGACAAATATGCAAAGATTGAATTTGAGAAACCAGATTTACCAGTTGAATACAACGGACAAAGGAGCGATTTAGATTGGACAAATGATAGATATATTCGACTGCTTAAACTGAGGCAATTTGCTTTGAACAAAGCCAGAAGGATTGATGTCGATTTCATTTTATATATTGATGCTGATAATATTTTAATGAATCCATACACTTTGAATTACCTCACTGAAAAATCTGAGACCATCATTGCACCTATGTTGAATTCAAATACCGATTATTCCAACTTTTGGGGTAAGGTGAACGAACAGGGACATCATGTAAAGAATAATCTGTACAAGCAAATAATAACACGTAAACAAACCGGGACTTTTGATGTTCCATTTGTACATTCAACATTCATGATAAATTTAAAAAATAAAGATTCTGGAAAAGTTAGATTTCTACCAATTCCACCCTGTTACGACTACAAATTTAATGATAATATGGTTTTTCGTTACCAGTGTGATTTCAAAGGCGTTCATATGTATATTGATAATTCCGCCTTTTATGGGTATTTACCAGAACCACAAGATAATGACGAAGATCTGGAAGATGAAATTTATAATTTTTTGAGAATGAGAATGGATGTCATGACATTGCCACCAATAGGCGTTGGAATAACAATACGAAAGTCTATACACGTCCCGGATAAGGCGATTATTACGAGTCTTCCGGTTGATCATGTGTTTGTAATAAATTTGGAGCGAAATCGCGATCGCAGATTACGGATAAATAAAAGCTTCGCAATGCATGGAATTAATTACACGTTATTTGAGGCTGTTGATGGAAAATTATTAAACAAAAGTTATATGGATAGTCTCGGAATCAAAGTACTTCCAGGATATAAAAGCCCAGATGGTGGTGCTGATATGACCGTGGGTGAAATTGGCTGTTTTTTGAGTCATTATTTCATTTGGAAAAAGATTTTGAAGAATAAATACGAATCTACTATTATTTTTGAAGACGATGTTCAATTCAGACCAAAATTTATACAGAAATTTAAAAATGTTATGAAAAAAGTTGAAAATGAGAAAATTCCTTGGGATTTGATTTATTTGGAAAGAATTCCAATAAAAAAAGGAGAGGAAGAACCGGTGATGTTAGAAAATGAAAGTGGTCCTAACTTGGTTCAACCAGTATATTCTTTCTGGGCCATAGCATACATGATATCTTACGCTGGGGCGAAAAAATTAATCGATGCCGAGCCGTTAAGTAAAATTATTGCCGTGGATGTGTTTCTTCCTGTTATGTATGGAAAACAGCCTTTATCTTATATTAATGAGTATTTTCTAAAAAAGAACCTCAACGCGCTTTCATTTAAACCGACCATCGTAAAACAAACACACTACTACAACAATGTTAACCATGTTAGCGATACCGCAAATTCCAAATTCGTCTGTGATATCCTGGATTAGTTACTCAGAAGTGTGAAGTACAATTCAACAATTCTAAATCACAAACATAAACATACTCCGAAATCATAATAATATTTGAATCCTACTTTGGAACTCTTAATAATAAAAGCTGATACCAACTATTGGTTGGAAGGAAGGGCGCTTTCGTAGTATGTGAACCAAGATGGCGGACACCGGAACGTAGTATGTGTATCAGGTCAGGGTTTGGCCTAATTTTATTCCAATTTTTCCTATTTTAGTTCTATCACGAGTTTGGGGACTAACATGATTCCCGGAGTATTTGTGAATGAAATTATGGCCTAACCCTAACCTGGTACACATACCACGTTCAGGTGTCCGCCATCTTGGTTCACATACTTCAGGAGTACCAAAATATGTCCGTTTTCGATACCGGTTGACCAAACTGCGACAATCGACTCGTGGACAGTTAACTTGATATTTCGGGTCAGCAAAGTTTTTGTTGTTAAAACTCTGATGTTTCAACAATTAAATCCAATGTCAAATTTTGACCCCTAGTTTGTGGAGGTCTGAAATGCAGATCCAAGAATGCTCAAAATCATTTTGAATCTCGCTCCATACAATTCGAAAACACAACTCTAGTTCAGATTTAAATGCTAGCCAAAAGATTCCAACTTTCGACTTTACAATTTCCTTGCTGCCGCTCAAAATTTTGTAAACTTTGGTCTCGACATCAATTCTATTGGGAACATACAAATTCCGAATTGCAGATCCAGTAGAAAAACTGCGAAAATCTTAAACCATGCCCCATACTATAAAATTGAACCGTGACTAAACAATCACGGAAATTTAGTGAAATATATATTCATCTCAATCAGTTCTGTTTTAGGAAATTTTGTGATCCAAATTAATGACAAGCTGAGAAATTTGAAACAAACATGTTTTGTTGAAAGTAATTTAAAGGAACTTTGAGTTAATTTTATATTTATACTCTATACTTTTATATTTATGTCTCATTGTATTTTAGTAAAATGTTAACATTGTTTCTCCAATAACATTATTTATAAAGTGCAACAACAGCTTGTGTCGTGTAGTTTTGTATTACCCATATAGACTGCTAACAACAGTTTTTTTTTCATTTTGTACTCTACATCAGTGAATAAAGATGATCTTCAAAAAAAGTTATCTTTTTTATTATTTGTACAATACAAGACATCAACGCACAAAATTGCGATTTCCACACTGTGGCTGCTAATCCGAACATTGATTAAATTGAAGTGTAAAAAATAACTCAATGAATTCAAAAATAAGACCCGTGCATTTGACACTGTCACAGCAATTAAATGTGCCTAGCCCCGACATCGCATATTGGCGTCATTATTTGTATATTTACATTACGTACTGTGCTGTGATGAATTATTATCATAATACCAGCCTGGTTTAGTATATGCACAACTAGTACGGAGCAACCATTATAGTTTAGTGAATGCTTTTAAAGTCTATGCCAGTGGTTTTTAACCATTTAGGTAGAGCGGAACTCTAATGAGACGTTTCAGATGCTCGAGAAACTCATGTGCAATTCATTATATGTATCAATAAATATGCTAATAAAAAAATGTGAAACAAACACCTGAAGATCTTTTTCGGAGCACTGGCGAAAAACACTTACTATATGATTTTGTTGGTTCCATTACATTTGAACCCACGTACATTTGAACCCATGACAATTGCACCTGTATGCTATTGCACCTATGGAATTTTTTTTGTTTCACGGATAGTTAAACCCATACTAACCCTAACCCATGGGTTTTAGCACCCGCATATAGATTGAACCCGTGGATATACGCATGGGTTCAAATGTACATGGGTTCAAATGTACGGTCACCGATTTTGTTATACCCGTCTATATGATTTTATTTAAACAAAGTTATAAATCACCCATACTTATAGTAATAATACAGTTATCTTTTTTTCTTCTAAATCCGACCGCAACACACTTTCATTACGTTAGCTTTAAATATTTAACATAGTTGTCTTGTTTAACATATCGAATCTAGAGCTTGTCAGTTATCTGCATAATCCGAGGTGGCATATTATTAGTCGTTTTCGCGTTTATTTTACGTTGCTTTCGATAAGAAAACGGTTCTGTTAAGTCGGGTCGTGGTATCCGATGTGCTTTGATCGTGGGGTTGGTTGGCGCGTTTGTTGGTATTAGGCCTCATATAGAGTACCCATATCTGTATAAACTATATATCTACACGGCACGAGTACTACCAGTACCACCATTGCTTCTAACGTATATAAATCGACACACAATTTCTCAGCAGTGATAAATTGGCGGTGCATGAAATCAAGAAGAATGTGATATTCAATAAATTGAATCCTATCTATTGACGATTGACGAATTCGCGCTAGCGCTGTACTTCAAATCCACTCCAATATTCACAATACCAGCATTAGATAAGATAAAAGTAGTAATCAATAAAAGGAAGTGCCGTCAAACTATCAGCTTTTGTATAAATCCAACCACAATGCACTTTAATTATGTTAGCTTGATTATTAATGTTGTTATTTGATTACCTTTCCCTGCAATGAATCATTTATGTCGATTGAGATAGATAAGATAAAATTTGTATCTGTTGCTTTGTGTAAACCTTGTATTCGACGAGTTTGCTCTGATGATTAAGTCGGTCACTAGCCGCAGCATCACGTTATCTTTCAATATTCAACATTGCTGTTGGCTTCTCCAAACCTTTTACTTGACTTTCGCAATTCACAATGAATCACGCATACTTATAGTGTTAATAGCGATATCCTTAGTGTTTTTCTAAATCCCACCGCAACACTTTCATTACGTTAGCTTAAATTATTTAACATAGTTGTTGTTCTTTCACTTAATTGCCGCAATGAATCATGCATGCTAATAGTGATAACAGTGATATCCTCGTTTTTTTTTACCTCAGTTGCTCTGTGTGAAGCACAGCCGTGATTTTGGGGTGTTTTCTGTTGTTTGAATCGGATGTAGAGTCTGCCTATGTATACAGTATCCGTATAATCGAAGGTGCCATTTTATTCGACACGGAACGTTTCTTCCGTTAAGTAAACGTAGCGTTCCATCGGTTTAAAAGGGGATCTGCAATAATTATTTCGATCTTTTGACGAATTCGCGCTAGCGCTCTACTTGAAATTCACTCGGAATAAAACACGATAGCAGCATTAGATAAGATATAAGTTGTAATCAATAAACAGGCGTGACGTCAAGATAAGTATAACAGTTTCATTATTAAAAGTCATTCTGGAACCAATTTATTTTGATTGTTGAGAAAGCAAAAAATGTGTAGATACTCTGGAGATTCTTGAATGTGAAGTGTTTTTAGGACTTGGTGGAATGAGTCATTCTCTAATTTTAGCAATGTTCAGAATCGCGTTTTTCAATTTTGCGTTGAATAGTGTTTCAGTAGTTGTGGGCCGACAAGTCGAAAGATAAAGTTACATGCGTCATTGTCGGAAATACAGATATTACGTAAACACGATTGTTGCGTATTTGCATAATGTAATAATATAGAATTAGAATGATCATTGGTTCTCGAATGTTTTCCATCGCGCTCACGCCCGAATCTTTTTTTTTTGCCTATGACAAAGAGAATTCAAGCTAGGGGTTAAGCTACCTCATCACTGCGACCTTTCATAAATAAATATGGAAAGCTTGAATATGACACCAAGTATGTCACATGCCATAACTGAAGCACTTTTGTGATAAGTGAGTATCTCCAAAATCCTACCTAATTTATCAGTGTATTGAACACTTTCCAATTGTAAATGATCATTCTGCAATATAATTTTTACCGCCTTTACAAATTATTTCTAGTTTTCATAAATCCTTCGGCACTGAAACAATCACCAGACCTTCGGAGTTTTATAAATTGTTCTACTCACTATACTAACTAGGGGATTTCGTTCTCCCAACCAATTCTTCTAGCATATTTCCACAATACTTAATTTTTAAGTTTTATAATCCGATCTTATTGTATACTTTTTCAGTACATCATTTGTAATTGCTTAGTTTAACAAGCTTCAAACTTGAAAGTTTAATTAGAGATTTCATTTATAACTCTTGTCTTACCTTTACAGAATATCATTTCTCTACGCTCCTTGTCGAATGAGAATCACTTTAGAATGTTTGCTGAGTACTGCATTCTGGATGATAGAATACGGTTAGTATAAAAACGTAAATGATTGTCGAAGTGCTGACATACAATTCTTTATCTAAGTACATAAAATTATAGCCCAAGTCGAAAATGACATCTAAATTGTTCTACATTTTTTGTTTCATAGCAAACCAATCACCGCAAAAAAATTCTAAGTCGTCTGAATCCGCCCTAGAAGTTGATTTATAAATCTTATTTATACCTATTGAATAGTCTGACCGAAATGTCGAAAAACAATATTAAACCTTTACACTTCCTAATGGGTTTCGTTCTCTAACCAATTCTTTTAGCATATTTTCACAGTACATAATTTCTGAGTTTTTATAGTCAAAAACGATTCCTGTGAAAGTGAAAGTCTTATTTATAGTTTTCCAAAAGCCCAACAGAAATGTATGTCTGAATCAAAGTATTTAAATATTTCATAATTCTTGTCTTACTTTTACAGAACATCATTTCTCAGTACTCATTGTCAGACGATCATTACCTTGATTGTTGCTGTTTTGTTTGCTGGGTGTTGTATTCTGGGTGATTTTATACGGTTAGTAGAAAACGTAGATGATTGTCGAAGTGCTGGCATACAATTCTCTATCTATGTACATAAAATTATAGCCGAAGTCAAAATTTAGATCTGAATTATCCCACATGGATTGTGTCATTGTAAACCAAGCAAAAATTAGAATAGGGTAGGAATTAGACCAGCCAAAATCAATTGGTTGAACAAAACGTTTTCAAAAAATGTAACGACTTTTCTTACCGAGTTTTTTGCTTTCCTGTTGTCAAGTTTTACTTCCTAAGTTTAACCCTATTCTTCAATATCTTCATCCTGTTCTACTTGCAGGAGACGGTCGTAAAATTTATTTATAGCATATCTCAACCACCTAACTCCCTTAGCTAATGAAAAATACTACCTACAGATCATAATCTTATTTTAGTCGGTAGAATTAGACCTGTCAAACTCATCGCTCGACTTGCAAGCAGTCAACTTTATTTTTGAACATTTTTGATAATTTCCCTTTATATTATTTTATCTGTGATATTATGCAATCACAGTGAATCTTTTTATAAACATTTAAAACTTGAAACCAAATTTATTACCAATTAATCAGTAATTTTAATATCAATATATTCATTCATTCATTCATACTTCTAAAATTTGGTAAATCAAGTTTGAATTTTAAAATGTTGAACAGAAGTTGAATTTATTACTGAAAAACAATTCAAAATTTTCGAGTTTCTTAAATTTGAGTGAATCAAATTTTATTCCAACGAAATGAAAATGTTTGCAGAACTAAAAAAATATTTAAACGCAGATTAATCTAATTATACCTCATAGCACAAATTATTTAATATTTAGTGTTATATTACGTAATTATTACGAATACTAATCTCATCAATTCAACCAGTCAGAAGTTTTATTAGATCAGAATCTCACAAATAACTCCATGACGCTCCCAGTTAGGAGGAATATTCTTCATCCTTGATAAAGGTCAATCGGGTTGGAATCAACAACAATGTAACATTTCTATAATTCCTTATACTTAATTCCCGTGCCTGGATTATGTGGATACCATTCAATGAATGAATCTGCAGGTTTGACGTCTCCGAGTCTGAGAAGAAAAGAAATATTAGCTGGCAGTTATCGCTTAATCGTATCGACTGATTTAAAATTATAAATGTTTGTTTTTTCATTAATCATTAATAGATATTTATCAAGGAGAAATTATTGGTAAATTATAAACTTAAGGCCTTTCTAGTCTCTCGTGTGTTAACAAGTAAGGGCAAAGATCTGAGCAAAACTGTTACATTGCAACAATTAACTGTATTACTAGGACTGAGCATTTTGAATCAAATCGTCGATTATTCGAATCGGTTCTGAGTAAAATTTCGAATCGCCATCATCTTCTTTTTTTTGTTCGGCAATGGTCGAAGTGAATTCTTCAATTTTTTTATTGAAGCCATATTTTTTCAAGGCAGTTCAGACATATTACAATTTCCTGTAGTGAGGTATTGATAAAACGTGTTTCTTATTGCGTGTGAACGCTCAGCAATCTGTTTTCTGAGTTCAGATGTTGACAGGACGCAATTACATAAAAAGTCGCATCAATATTACATATTTTCTAAGTATTCGAGATTCGATTCGAAAAAATATTTGATTCGATTCTGAAATCTTCAGGTATTTGGAAATGCCCATTATATAATATGTTACTAAACTCTGATTGAACTAAGACGCAGCTAGCGATGAGATGCAGATAAATTATTATTGTATGCAAAATATATTTATGTCCTGTTGACCCGATTGGTGTATAAACGAATAATCTTTATGACCTTAGTGACGTTGTGCATACGTTTTGAAAGCAAATTGCTCCATGTGCCCATAACGTTGAAGGTAACAAAGGACGATAAAAATGTGGATGTTGTAAATAACGCTAAAAACAATACACAAATATCGACATCGTCGATAATTATTTTTCGCGAAAAACTATGCGTGTGAAAAACACGTTAATATGCGATCATCGGCGAAAGAAGATCAAAAACAATTAAAGGAGTAAAAGAATGAAGATAAAACAATTGAAAGGCGACTTCATAAAATACTAAAAATAAAACGAAATGCACTAAAATTGTGTTGTAGGGTCGCTGCGACAGATGAAAACAGTATTTCAGACACAATACCAAAACCTATAACCGTGCGGCACGCACTCTGCCAAGTTGCCTTTGGAAATTATTCCATCCTCGCTGAAGTTTAAACACAATTATTCGTATACGCGATGTATTTTGATGTACTCCTCCCAATATTATGATTATATATAATATAAACTAATGTTGAGTATCACTTTTTATTGTACTACAATAAATCGCATCCTTGATTTTATTGCAATTTTTCGGTAGTTTTTAACATTTGCAACAGCAGCTCAAATGCGTAGAATTCAAAACATCGCAAAAATAGGAATCAAAACTAGACATGTTTCTAATATACCGTTTGCACAATTATAGCTAATCAAACATTAACTTGAACTACCCTTGGATGTATCTGACCTCGCATTTCAACCATCTGGTCATGAAACTCTATGAATTTCCACATAAGTATAGATAGTAAAAACATGAGATACCAACCATCGGATCAAACTTAATTCCTGTCCATAACCAAATGCGCAGCTTTCCCTCCGGAAAAATTTTTCTCAAAAAATCCATAATCGCTTTGTAAGATTCTTTATCTCGGATCAAACCAACATCTGCGTTACGTTTCTTACCAATACGAACTTCTGTACTGTAATAGACATCTAATAGTTTTTTTCTAATACTCAAGCAATAAACAAAGAAAAAGTCAGATTCTCACCCTCTTTTCCAAAAACATCAGTGTTTTTCATTTTATCATTGACGTTCTTTTTCAGATCTCGTAAATCTGATTGGATATGTCCGATATCTGAATGAACATATAAAAGCAAACAAATTTAATATATTGATGTACATGCTGCGACTTCGATAAATTCAAAGTGTTGGCGCTCCCGTACGATGTGCACCAAGATAGCGCACAACCTGATAACCCAAACCTGGTACACATTCTATGTTCAGGTTGTGCGCCAACTTAGTGCACCTAATGCGGTGCATGCAAATGTTATCGTTGTTACAGAGTACAATGAAATCTCATGCCAAGGGATTACATGCCAAAATTATACAATAATGATCTATTGGAATAACGTATTACTAACGAGTATCACTCATCTTATTACGTTTTATTGCCTGAATGAATAATTTTAGATGATGACCTTGATACACGGTCAATGCTTACCCAGAGTATTTCTGGTTACTAATGACAGTATTCTGAGATTTTGCCGCATTCTGAGATTTGCATGTAATCGGGAATTGTTTGTCATGCAGATGTTCACCAATGTTAAAACCTGGCCTATCCCATCCTACAGCAACCGGATCACATTGTGCAATCTGGCAACCCGGCTTGGGTGAGCAGTGAAACACTGTTTCATCTTGACCCCAGGATGAAGTGATGACGTATATTAAGATAAAAACGATTGAGATTTTCATCTCGAGGTTTCAGTGTATTCAAGTAGTAACTGAATGAATGAAAGATCAAATTTGAATTTTAAAATGAGAATATCAGAATTAAAAATGGTCTGTAACAAATCGCGGTTTCACAACGGGAGACAAATGTATCTTAGAATAGTTTATTTTCGTGGTCTACTAAACTGGAATACTACGGAAAATACTCGGCTAGTCTCCGATCTCGAAATAGAACTAAAATAACAAAAACTGGAATAAAATTATGTTCTAACCCAAACCTGGTTCACAAACTACACTCCGTCGTCCGTCATCTTGGGTTGCATACTGCAGAACCAATAAATGACATATAAAGTCTAGTGGTAAGACCATTTCCAGAATCCGCTAACATTAATCGGTACCCCTGAAGTATGGGCAGTGGTCACCAAGATATCGTACAACCTGAACCCTTCCCTGGTACACAACCTGAGTTCAGGTTGTGCGCCATCTTGGTTCGCATACTTCAGGAGGTCCGATTAATCTCGTTTGGTATTGCGAATTTAACGCGGCGACATAAGCAAAAAAACATGTGTTTTTATCCATGTCAGCGCCTATTCAAAAATAAAACTACCAGCTTGTTTTAATGAAAACTGATTAACACATTGTAACGCGTCTAGAACGATATCAAGATTTCTCAGCGCAAAAAGAATAATTCTAAATATTACCAGTATCATAAACGTTCCCTTCTTTCAACTATGAAAATCTCGCGAACTATTTTATCAACTAGTTGCCTCATATAGTCTATATTAAACTCTATTGATAGTATAGTTCCATCGCCTCGCTTTTATGCTTGAAAATTCACCACAAGCGAATATATTTGGAAGCATACGCTTGATATGTCGTGACGAAGTTTCAGATCTTAATCGGATTAGCGCTGTCGCGTAACGTTCATTTTTGGTTAACAATGACATTGCAGAATTAATTTTACTATTATGCAATTTTCTATTTTTAAAGAAATCGCAATGAATTTCAAAATATAAGTTGACATAATTAGTATTTTGAATTCTTCAGTGAATTTGACAATAATAAAAAGTTTACTTAATCTTGCAAATGCTAATATAAGTTTGGTGTCAAATTACTCAAATTTTCTGTAATTCATAACAAAAGCGAGACTTATTATTTAACATATTTAGTCTTCCCTTGGAAACTCAAAAAGTACGCGAATCGAGCAAAGATTTATTGAACAACGCTACTCGGTGTTCAACCCTTATAATTATTACTGCTCCAGACTATAATACTCTCAATATAAAAATGGGTGATTTGCAAATTAAATTAATAGATAAATATACACGTTATCATGCAAACCATAAATCTACGGTTTGACAAGCTGACATGGGCAAACTACGGCCCACTGAGTAATTCAATCTGGCCCGCCTAAAGGTGCGTTTACACTGGACGCGTCGCAACGCGTTGCGACGTGCGCTCGAGATCGCCTTCCATTGTTTCAAGTGACGCCGTTCACAATGAAAGCGCGGCACCTAACGACGACGCGCGGCGCCGCTGCTGTTTCTCTCGGTGAGCGTTTTTCGGCGCGACTGACCTTCAAATTCCACGTGCTTTTTTGCGGCGGTGTCGGCTGCTTCCCGTAGGAAGTGGTTTTACCTTCTGCTAAGGTCTGAAGGTACCGCATTTTATAACTGTAATATGGAATTAGGTACCGGTACCGTTTATCGTAATTTATAAGTTAAATATCCAAATTAGGTACCGTTATCTAGGCCAGAATAAAATTGATTGCAAGTACTAGTGAAGGATTGTAGTCTTTACTATTTGCTATATAAGTTCTAACAAGAATTGTATTTTGAATTCATTACAAACTTTGTTTCACAGTCATGTCCTTTGAAGAACTACTATAAATGAGGTGCAATCTAGACCATGTCTGTATGACATGAGTCGCCACGATTACCGTGATGTAAATATTAAAACTAACAATTGGGCGGAGATCGGAACATTGCTTCATGTTACTGGTTAGTTACTTTTATTACGGCATTGCTATATTTCTCTTGATGGTAAAATCACGTTGTCTAAAATATATTTGAAAGTACACAAAATTGAAAAAAAAAGCTTGCTTTGCTCAACTAACACCACAATCTGACAATGCTATTTAGGACAGCAGACAAGAGAGAAGTGGAAAGAGTTGAGAGACAGATTTGTCAAGATTAAAAATAAGAATGAAAGCAGCATGAGGTCAGGAGCACCCGGAGGCGTTTCTACGAATAAATGGAGTCTATTCGAACAAATGAGTTTTTTAGATTCCTTCGTGCAGCATCGAAAGTAAGTTATTTTGCATAAAATCGGCACAACAGTAAATATCGAGCTGCTGTGATATGTTACTATGATGAAAAGTGTGTGCCTATTTCAATGATGTATCTATCACATGTTTTGAAATGATCTGTTCAGTTTGGTATAAGTTAAATTCTTTATTAATTTGAAGTTATTTCAGGCTCTTTTCTATTTCTTATTTCAAAACGTCCTCAAATTTAGATCTCGTCACTTTATCAGCTGTGGTAGAGGGGGAAGAAGTGTCTGGGTCATCTTCTGTCGCACCGACACCAAAAAAAAGGAAGGAAGAAGTGAACATGCGGATTTTGAAATTCTTGAGGAGGAGAAGGATGGGTAATTTTTTTAACATTTCAACATCGTTTTTGTTTCATGTTTTATCTACGGTCACACATGATATGGTGTGATCGAGATTAATTTAGTATGTTGTAGAATTAAAGGAGCGTATGCATAGCATGCTCATATAGACAAGAGAGCTACCGTATATACTCTCCTATAGGTCACAACTTTTTACCTTATATTTATAAAAAAAAAGATAGGTGCGACCTATCCGCTCGACATACGGACGATTTTACAAAAATTCGGATATAGGCCATTCCTACAAATCGTAACACGCAGCACGCATCTATTACAGGTGACCTGGTTCTAACCATATAAAATTATGAGCGTCATTAACATATTTTGATTATATAAAGCCCTACAAAAAAACAAAATAGGAAGTTACCTGTGCAAAAATCTAGGGAAAGGGCCATTCAAATCCCTAGATTTTCAGTGCGATTTATGTGCGAGATAACTCGAAATTAAACTTTTTTAACACAAAACTAATAGTGCGGCATATAGGCGAGTATATACTGTATACTCAAATATTTGGACACGTAGAGCCACATAATTTTGATGACGTCATAGCGAAAAAAAAAGAAATAGCCTTCTGGAGAAAAATTTTATCTTCAACCACTGAGAATTTCAAAGCAATTGGTCCAGTAACCAAAGAGGTAAGCGATTTCTTCAAAACGTGTCAAAGAACAACAACAAGACTAAGTCTAAGAACAGCAAAACGTTCACTATGTCCACTACGTGCCCAATAAACACGTAATGGTATGAAATATTGATACTATGTATATTTATTTTTAGATGACCCAGACAAACTCTTCCTTCTTTCACTTCTACCACAGCTGAAAAGACTGTCTCCTGAGCGTGCGTCATCAACAAAGATGAAAACCATGCAAATACTCCATGAGGCTGAATTTGAGAAATGATTCAAATTCAACTTCCTACTTAAAAATTAGAAAATAAATTCAAACTTTTTTTTTTTATCTTAATTACTGTACATTACTAAATTTAATTGACTCCGTACAAACTTGAGCAACCTTCTCTAAACAAGAACTCAATTTTCAAAAAAATTTAATGTTTTTATTGTTAGTTTACCTCAACCATTTTATTATTTATTCAGGCAGTATGCTTTTTCATTCTGGCTATTTCTTATTACAGCGCTGTGGAGTATTTGCATGATTTTCACCTTTCTGCTCCGCTTATTTTCTTTCATCAAGAACAAATTCGTTTTTCAATTACGTTTATTTTCAAATATTCTTTGATGAAAAATTTGGATTATTTTCTAAATTGATTGCAGCTTAAAATATTTTAGTGTAGCGTGTCAAATGTAAAATCTCTCATTCAGTAATATGTTTTTTCGATGGTAACCACTAAACTAGATAAAAGTAACTTTTCATGTCCTTCTGACTCTTTGAAATTGCCAGGGGCAAGCTCCATCAACCATGAAATAATTTTTAAGGCTGTCGCGAACAGCCGCCGCCGATACACTATTTCTGCGACCTTGCCTTTGCAGGGGCAAAAAACTATTATCCTCATGTACTCGCCAACTTCCTCTTGTTATGTTTTCTTCCAGATCCTCCCTATTCACTTCACCTGCATCTATCAGTGTATGGCGTCTTACATAATTATGCAAACAACATGCTGCCTTCACAACCAACTCTGCGTTTTGTGGCGACACACCCATGGGCCTCCCAAAAACTCTCCACTTCGCACTCCTACCGAATGCATTTTCTACTACTCGCCTTGCCCTGGATAGCCTGTAGTTGAAAACTTTTTTATCAATTGGCAAATTTCGCCCCGGGTATGGTCTCATCTGGTGCTTTTGGAGTGGGAAAGCTTCATCCCCCACTATCACATAGGGAGCCTTTTTTGAGCTGTTAGTAAGTGTTGTTTCATTCGGCAAATTCAGGGCCCTTCATTTAGGAGCTTACCGAGAGCAGAGTGGGGAAAAACACTTCCATCACTCTGCTTTCCGTATGCTCCCACATCTACAAAAAAAAATTGTAATTGGCGTCAACAAGGGCCATTAGCACAATGCTGAAGGTTTGCTTGTAATTGTAATAAAGGGACCCTGAATTCATCGGTGCTTGAATTTGTATATGTTTCCCATCTATGCTACTTATGCAATGTGGGAAATTCCACTTTTTCTCATACTCTTCAGCGATTTGCTTCCATTTTGTAACTGTTGGCGGGTTTAAATATTCTTTTTTGAGTGATTTCCAAATTGCCTCACAAGTTTCTGTGACTAACCCTGAAACTGTTGATTTTGATGTCCTATATGAATCTGCTATTGTGGTATAAGAATCCACTGTTGCTAAAAATCTGAAATATGATATATGTGCATTTTTATTTGATGTAATGTTTATTTTTAATAGTACTATGTGGATGTGTTGTAATTTGAATATTTTCTTCCACATACATTTTGTTACATGATTTGAATATACAGTTTCAAATGGTACATTGCTTACCTCAATGTTATTCCAAGCCTCTCTGCAGGAGATATAGGTTCTCGGAAATTAGTCGTGGTTTTAGTGATGTAAGGAGCCACTAGACTCTTCAGGTCATCAAACATATCAGGGTCTAGGCGGTCAATGTTCCTAAGCAACCGCCTCTGGCGCCCTTGAGTGGTGGAAAAATGACGCGCGCTATGTAAACACCTGCCCCGCCCGACCATCAGCCGCGACGCGTCCAGTGTAAACGCACCTTAATGCTGCTACAACCAAACTAAAAATAAATGTTGATGTTTTATGACGAGTTTCATTGTAGGTCACACTACCCGCCCGTCTAAATGGGCAAAATTTCTGGACCATGGACCAAAAATCTTGCCCACCTGTGATCTAAAACATTTGTACAAAAATATTATTTATCAACTGAAACGCCGATATAACATGTGAGGAATTGCAGTGACTTAACCTAAGAAAAGACAAATATGTATGAAAACGAACCGGTAAAATATGAACCCTCACTGTGGAAAAGATGCCAACCAAACGCACGGTAGCAGCAATGTCATGTGGTCACCTCGTCATCCTGAAAGATATTGGTGGACGTGACTAATGAGTCTTGCCTCGGCGAAACTTGCTTCCTACATGGTGTTGTAGAGCTTCCTCACCCAAGCTTGCTTAGCATCATTGTTGTTGTAAATTTGATGCGGACGCACTTTAGCAGTTTGGTGGTAGTGTCGCCACTCGCCATGCCATCACGCGATGTCAATCAAGTCGTTGAAGATCTGTCTTGTATGTTTTCTCCGGTACTCCAGATTCGGCGCATCTGATACTCTAGTGCAGGGATACTCAACTATTTTTATCGAAGGTCCGCAAACAAAACTTCAAAATTATTTGGGTCCGGTCTTTCCAGAAATGATATTTCGGCATCCTTAAACGAGCACTTCCTCGACCGACTAATGATTAGTAGCAAATAAAATTGTTTATTATGATGTTATAGTTCTTTTCGTATATATTCAAAAATATGAAAGTCATTTTATAATAGGAAATTCAAAAAGTGTGGCCAATGATCCAAAATAAATAATTAGGTGCGGTCCAAATCCAATACTCGAAAGGTCCGGATTCGGACCGCGGTCCGCCAGTTGAGTAGCCCTGCTCTAGTGGTACACTGAGTTAAAAGCTTTCCTCAAAGCCATGAACGCATCGGATTCTGGCGTTGTCTTGCATTGTCTAGCAGAGCGTCAAGTAGCAGAATATTTCCAGCACAACCATCAGTTGGGCGGAACGCACGCTGGGCTGGCTTGAAAGGAGCCGGGAGCCGATGTGTCAGATTTTCTAACGGCATCAAGGACTTCCTTCTTGCTGATTGGCTCCACTACGTCCTAAGCTGTTGATTTTCAAGAGACTTGATTGTACGAGTATCTACTATCTTCGGTGCGTCTATGACCTCTTTCGAAAATTCAGTTAATTTCTTGTTTCAATGAACCTATTCCTATTCCTACGATTGCTATTCCTCAATGAACTTTAATAAATAAATTTCCCGCTCAGCGCTATCGTTTTGCTTTTTGCAATTCAGTGATTGTACGTGAGAGTATTCCAGCCTGCGCTTATGACATTTAGTCATTTGCCTCGTTTATGTTATATATTGTCTTTTTTCGAAGACTTGAGGACGTTCTGGTGATTCAACAGAGTTCCATATGGCTTCTTTTCAGTTTATGCGGGGCTTCCACCTCCGAATGCTGAACGCCTGTGGGTTGAGTTCTTTCCCTTTTCAGGCGTTCCTTGTTATCGAGAATTTTTGAACGTAATGATTTGAACTCCGAACTGATTTGAAGACGACCTTCTCCGTAGTGCTACCATGCTAGAGTGCGCAATGTGATCTTTTTGAAACGAAGTTACATGTGTCCTCCGTCCGTTCCTCTTGTAGTGATTTAAACTCCAATCTTCTCATCCTCGCTTAAATTGTACGCAGAGTTCGGTGAGGAAATATGTCTTCTAGTGCAACCAGATGACCTTTCTCGTAGTTCCACTTGGCTAGAGGGCGTAATGTGATATGATCTTGGTGAAACGAAGTTACATGTTTCCTCCGTCAGTACACTCTTAAGCCGGATTTTGTGGTGAATCAACAGCTGCAGTATTGGCAGGGAAATCTTGCTAAAGAGTTGTTGGTATTCGAAGACATGGTAGGGATCAGACCACACTCTCGCAGAGGCAAGGGATTCGGTGGATTTTTTCATTAATTTTCCGTTTTGTACCGGGTTTGACACTCCAAAAGAAAGTAGTAACCCTAGATGGAGATTAAAACCTATTCGGTATTTGCTACTTGAGATATGAAAATACTCCAAGGTATTGTCTGACTCTTGCCATCATGAGGCACCGGAGAGGCATACGTTTACCCTAATTGCATAAGCAATGTCTCTTGCCGTGCAATTTTTCCCGCTTCCATTGTTCGCTTCAATGTTTAATAGTTCTGGCTGGAGCTTGGGCCAATGCTAACCGGGCTTCTTTGAGTTGTCGGTATTGAGTTGCATCATATGAGCGACTCTTCAGTTCTTCATGATGATCTTATCGTGAGATATCGCGTAGCATACGAAAGTGTCTAACAGACAAACAGACAAATACCCAGTGGCGGCGCGTGGTCATTTTGACAACCGGGGCAAGCTACTGCGGGACCAAGTCACCCCCATCTACGGGGACAGGATGAGCGCTGTAAGTTCTCCCATCATTTTATGAGTATAAAAACCATTCCATCGGTAACAACCAATCGGCAAAAGCGACAATTTTTAACCATAAGAAAGTGTTTTTAAAACCGGTCCAAGTCAAGGGATTAACAAATATAGACATAGTTTATTTTGAAACCTCTTTCAAAAGGAAAGGCAATATTTACCCAGATAATTACAATGACATATTAACAGAAACTTAGGAAAAGCAGACAAAACCTAAAATAAGGTTTAAAACGTTACTATGAAGAAAGGAAAGTTAATGCAAAGATAAGGACATGCGTCGCTCACTCATAGATATATATGCTGCTAGACTTCTACTGCTTGAACATATATGCAACACGCCGCGGTTTCTTGAAAGCAAAATGCTCAATAACGCGCTGATTAAAGTCATGCATCCCAGAAATAACGTCTCTGTGAATGGATAAAACAGCCAAGGAATTTAATCTATCTTGCTTCATTGTTTTTCTGAGATACGTTTTAATACGCGTTAGCGTGCTGAATGTTCGCTCTGCGTCGGCGGAAGAAATCGGCGTCGTCAAAATGATGTCCAGAAATTTTGCAGACGCCGCAAAGGTAGTTACTAGAGTGTTATCTATGAGGAACCCATAGAACGCGCAAGTTGATGTGATGTTCAAAAAAGTTTGATTGGTGTATATACATCGCAATTCATTTTCCAATTTACCCACGTTTATCATGGGGTAAAATTTGGAGACAGTAGCCAACAAATGGATGGGAAATTGACGTGCAAATTTTGAAAAATTTTTGGGGTTCATCAAAGAGAACGCGGCAAGGTGTTAAGTGCGCAGACGATCGCCTATTTGATTCACCAGAATGTCACAGCATTCCTTTGCAGACAAAATCAAACGCTGCGTTGTTTGCCCGCGGCGTAAAGAAGCACTCCATGTGTCGTCGTATTTTATTGTTTCCCGGATACGAGATACAGCTTCGCAGAAGTCTGAAATACACGACTGCACAGACGCTCCATCCATTAGCCTTGACTGCAATGCGCCGTATAATACATCCACGTGATAGAATATTGTGGAGAAAAAAGCGAGAAAAATGAAAACTCACCATCTTCTAGTAGACGCTTTAGACCTGCCGCCCCCCTCACAGAGCGTTCGTCCCAAACCGGAGAGCTCTGAATGCCATTGAAACACTCAATGAGTTCAGACCTAATTTTGGACACGCCCTGCATCACGCGTGATTGGAAGTCCCAACGTGTTGGTGCACAAGCTGGGAGACGGCGGCTACATATCTGGCGAAGGAGGTCAGAGCGCTTCGGCGAAACGGAAAAAAATGAAGAAAACCCCGAAACATTTGCAAAAAATATACGGACGAGAGGGGTATCAAGACACATATTTTCAATAACGAGATTAAATTGGTGTGCATAACAATGTAAAAAATGCGCATTAGGAAAATCTTCTTTTATATAAACTTGAACACCATGTTTCGACCCACTCATGACTGCCGCGCCGTCATAAGTTTGAGCTATCAATTTTGACATCGCGTTGTAAGGCTGTAACACTTCTTTCAGTATAGCCGATATCCCGCAAGCCGTGCGATCAACGATTGGTACAAAGCTGTGAAATCTCTCGGTAGGTGTACCATCTTTCACAAACTGAAAAATCACGGCCAGTTGGGAAACGCACGTGATGTCAGTTGTCTCGTCAGACTGAATCGAAAGGAACTGGCAATGCTCAATTTCCAGAACCAAATGTTGTAAATAAATTTCATACATTAGGTCGAGCAAATCATTTTGGATATCCTTAGATGCCCCTTTCGAAACAGTTGCGGCATCAAGATGATCTCTCAATACTGTATCTAGGGATGCGTGTATTCCACCATATTCAAAAATCCCCCTCTATCAGAAGAGCCAGCCCAGCCCGTTCATCGTGCCCACGGAGGGACAGCACGTGACAACCAATGAACTTCAAAACATCTATCAATCGACCGAGAACATGGCGGTTTTTCTCGACGTTTTGGTTGTGCCGACGAATAGAAACCGCGCGTCCTTCATCCAACTGTGCTGCAACATTAACATTTCCGAATGTTCGGTATTTTACTGCATTGTCCAGATGCTCCATAGAAGATTGATGATCCCTGGCACGCTCGGAAAGATGTTTAAGATCTCTAAAACCAAATTTACACCAACGTGAGTCACGGGTGGTAGCAAAAAGTAGGCAATAAAAACAAAAAATGCATTTTTGTCCTCGCTGTAACACAACTATTCGTGTTTTTTATACCAAGTTTCTGCGCAGAATGTACGCCGACGCTTTCCTCCGTCATGGGATTGTTCCAGTGAACAATTTTTTGGTTGATAAGGCCCAAGACGTTGTACCTCTAATTTTTGTTCCAGCGGCAGCTGCGAAAACGGAGTGCGAAGTAGTGCATCAACCTTATTCATTATGAGGTCTAAGGCTAAGAAATGCGAAGCCGGAAAGAAGTGAGGAGCTCAAAAGGAATGTGAAAAGTCGAAGGCAAATGGACTAAAGGTCTCTAACTGATTCAAATAGCGAAACAAGCGACAAAAACGAAGGCGAGGAAACTATCAACTCTTCAAGCAACCAACGAACGAGAAGGAATGCGTGAATATGTCAACACGTTGTTGTAAGAAACGTCGGCATTGTGTCGTCATAATTTCGGGGCTACCCCCGATCGGCCCCGATGATTTAGTAAAAAAAAACAGAAAACAAACGAGAGAATACGATATACAATAAACAACCGGGGCACAATCAGCGTCGCCCCGTCGACGTTCGGCGAAGGCTTTGCGAGCAAAAAATTCTCACTTCTCTGATCCTATATATTCTCCCGGAATCGTTACATTTATTTTTGCACTGTTTTAATATTTGTATTTCGTAAAAAATTGTAAATAGTACGATAGTATACACTTTGTGTACGGAAATGCAATAAAAACTAGCAATGCAGATTATCTTTACTTAGTCCGGCCCGCCACTGCATTTTAGATTTGCAATGTGGCCCCATAGCAAAATTAATTGCCCAGCCCTGTTCTAAACTGTTGAGATTAAAATCAATTCGGATTCAATGGCGCATTGTATTTCGAGGCCTAGCATAATATTTTTCCGATTTTCAAATTTATTCGTATCGAACCATGAATGAAAACAAAGACTTATATTGTCAGTTATTCTCAGATTGGGAATGTTTGAATTGGAATAAAACTAATCTGTAAGGGACATCTCCAGTGAGTCTGCAAGACCTGGTGCATTTATGTTTGATGATGGGCATTACAAAATCTTTTTTGATGGCGAAGTGGCCACGAGTCAAGTTATATATAGTATTTATTTAGGCGCATGACATTCGTACTAGCGCTCGTTTGGTTGGCATATTCTTCGCAGTGTGGGTTCACATTTTTACAGCTGGTTTTCATACATATTTTTATTTTCTTAGGTTAAGTCACTGCAATCGCTCATGTTATGATCGGTTTTTCATTTGATAAATAGTATTTTTTTTACAAATGCTTTAGATCAGAGGTAGGCAAGATTTTTGGTCCACGGGCCTCAAAATGTTGCCCATCTAGACTGGCGGGACATGTAAGTGTGGCGTAAAACTTACACTTTATGAACATAATTTACAGTGTTACAAAAGCAAAGGTGGACCACAATGAGCCTTGTGCCAAAACTGAATTTAATTGCAATTTCAACATATTCCCTGAGTTATTTTTAGCTGCAACATCAAAATTTTAGTTTGGTTGTAGCAATATCAGGCGGGCCAGATTAAAATACTAAGCGGGCCGTAGTTTGCTCATGTCAGCTTCAAATTGTCAAATCGAATAGTTATGGTTTTATAATAACGTTTTTATTTATCTATTTATTTTAATGTGTAATTTATCTATTTGCATGTCGAGAATATTATAGCCTGGAGCAGTAATAATCATACGCCGAGTAGCGTTGTTCAATACATCTTTGCTCGATTCGCGTACATTTTGCGTTTTTAAGGGAAGACTAAATATTTAAAATAATAGGTCTCGCTTCATTTATAAATTACAAAAAGTTTGAGTAGTTTTACACGTAAGTTATATTAGCATTTGCAGAGTAATAAACAGATTAAGTAAACATTTTATTACTGTCAAATTCATTGAAATTTTCAATAGCATATGTAAACTTATATTTTAAAATTTATTGCAATTAAATTAAAAATAGAAAATTGCAAAAAACTAAATATAATTCTGCGATGTCATTGTTGTTTATTGTATCATGAACGTCACGCGACATCGCTAATCCGATTGAGATCTGAAACTTCGTCACGACATAACGAGCGTATGCTTCCAAATATATTCGCCTGCGGTGAATTTTTAAGCATAAAAGCAATGCCAAAGAAAGTATATTATCAGTTAGTTTAATATCGACTATATGAGGAAAACTGGCTGATAGAACAGTTCGAGAGATTCTCAGAGTTCTAAAGAAAGAAACCGTTTATGATAGTGGTGATATTTAGAATTATTAATTATGCGCTGAGAAGCCTTGATATCGTTCCGGACTCGTTACAATGAGTTAATCAGTTTTAATAAAACAAGCCGGTAGGCGCCCAGGATCTTTGATGATTGTTGAGGTCAACGCTCAAGCAACCGCTTACCTTCCATAGAAACTCGCGGATCTTTAACGACGGCACGATCAATAGAGCTGGTTTTCGAAAATGCCAGTTCTTTTCAAACCATATCGTAGACATACTGACTGACATATTGTGGCTAAAAATAAAAATAAAATAGTGTTCACTAAAATCCAAATAGCTTCACCAGTTTGAGGAGTATCGAGACCAAAGGCGACTTGGAAAGAGTATTTTGCTATGCGGAATGTAGCGTTCTTAGAATTTCAATTTTCGACTTGGTTTGCGAGAAAACGGCGAGAATTGTGAAAAAAAAATGAAAGTTTTATAAAATTTCACGGCGCGTTTTATGCTGTTGCCACGAAAACAAAACCTCTATCCGGGCTTTCTATAAAACACACAATCCTAGGATGACAGGCATGCACAACGATTTAGAAAAGGGTTTTCCAGAGCGGAATTTCAATAGAATTTATATAATGCAACGTGACTTGATGATACCTGGAAACTCAAATGAAGAGTCACTATACACTTCAATATCAGTGCAACAGCGAGAGCAGCTAATACTTCAGAAAATGATTTTACGCTAAGCTTTATATGTCAGTTATACAAAGAGGCGCATTTTCGAAAGCTTCTATATTCTTATCAATAGTGACATTGTTGTAAATATGTGATGCCAATTCTAAAATACCTATATCGCGTCAGAATCGGCTATGTCCTGTGCAAAAAGCTTAGTCTTTTTTCAAATATGCGAATATATCTTTTTGAAATTCTATGTCACTTTTAAAATACTTCGCATTTAAATCGCTAAACTATTTGTAATTGTTTCTGATCTTTTTATATTAAACGACCTTTAGAAAATAAATTTTCCAAAAACGTATCGTTTTTAAATTCAAGACGCCAATTCTAAATTGTCAATATTGCGGAAAATACCCTAGCACAGGGGTGTACAACATGCGGCCAGCGGGCCACAACCCAGCCCGCCGAGCCATTCAATGTAGCCCTTGTCAGTACTCGGATTTTGCTCCATCAAACATAAAATTCTAATCGACAGTTTTATTTTTGAATAGGAGCTGACAAGGATAAAAACACACGGTTATTTGCTCCTGTCGCAGCGTTAAATCTTACGTTGTTTTGTTACTGCAAGCCTAAGCAATAATAGCGCATTCTCTTGCCTTTACCGCTCAATTTTTTGTGTGGCCTGGTTTTGTCTGAAGTTGGTTTTATGGTCCGCCGACAAAAATGTCGTACATCCAACTCTAGCATCTATGATAATAGACCTGCATTAATCTATACAGATTGAATATCAGTCAAATATTAAAAGAACTCTGTAATTCAGTGCACAATACCAAGCGATATCAATGGTAGCGACTCCCGGAAATGGTCTTACCAGCAGCTTTATATGTCATTTATGCGTTATCCTGTAGTATGCAAACCAAGATGGCGGACATTGAAACGTAGTATGTGTACCAGGTTGGGGTTAGGCTATAATTTTATTCCAATATTGCTTATTTTAGTTCTATTGCGGGTTCGGTAACTAGCCAAGTGACTAGCCTAACTATAACCTGCTACACATTCCACGTTCCGGCGCCCGCCATCTTGGTTCGCAAACTACAGGAAAACCCATTTATGAGAGAAATACATTTCCACTGAAACCAGACCAGTAGACCACGAAAAGAAACTATTCTACGGGTCAGGGGTTTGCGCGTAATTTCAAAAAAATCGTTTCGGTCCACAAGATTAGACAATCTATCAGGGCGCTCTGGAATCGCTGGTTTGACTGTGCCATTTCTAAAAAGGCATTCAATTTAAAATAGCCAATAACAACTTCAGAAGTGGCATAAGCGAAGTCGATATGTATATTCAAAGATACATTCGTCTCAGTTTGTGAAACCGCGATTCGTTACAGAACATTTTAAATTCTGATTATCTCTTTCAAAACTCAAATTTGATCTCTTATTCATTCAGTTACTATTTGAATACACTGAAACGTCGAGATGAAAATCTTAGTAGTTTTTATCTTAAACTACGTCACCACTTCATCCTGGTGCCAAGATGAGACAGTGTTCCACTGCTCTCCCAAGCCTGGTTGCCAGATCGCACAATGTGATCCTGTTGCTGTAGGATGGGACAGGCCAGGCTTCAACATTGATGAACATCTGCATGACAAAGAGTTTCCGATTACATGCAAACCTAAGAGTGCGAAAAATTTGCAGAATACTGTCAACTTGTTTTCATTAGTGACCAGAAATACTTTGGGTAAGCGTTGATTTATATTGCTCAATGCTCATTTTACCAGGACGGTCTTTCCCATGAAGCGTGTTCCAAGGTCAGCAGCTAAAATTATTCGCTCATGAAATAAAAACGTAATAAGGAATGAACAAGATGAGTTTCACGCAGTCATACATTGATATATTAGATCAACATTGCAGGAAGCGCATTTCATCGTACCCTGTAACAAATCTATTGAAGTCGCAGCATTTACATTTATAAATTAAATTTGCTTTTATATATTCATTCAGACATTGGACATATCAAATCAGATTTAAGAGATCTAGCAGAGAACGTCAATGATAAAATAAAAAACACTGATGTTTCTGAGGAAGAGGGTGAGAATCTGACATTTTCTTTATTCATTGCTTGAGTATTAGAAAAAACTATTTGCTCACGAATACTCTATGTGTCTTTGTCTTTATTAATGGATCTTATATTTTTACCAGAAAGTGACATCAAAATCAAAGAACAATCTAAAGAAATTAACAATCTCCGAGAGAAAGATAGACGGCAGTCTGAGGAAATAAAGAAATTGAAGGAAGGTCGGTTATATATTTGTCAAAATATTATAATGAAGATTATTAGCGGAAAATTGATGATTCAGTTAGTGCTAACTACATTAAAACTACTGCTTCATATTGCTGCGTTAGGAAGCAACATATAAAACTAAATTCAAAAATATATTTGTCGGATGTTTGTTAAGAGCGTCGGAATTTCATTAGATTTGGCCAAAGTTGAAGACATGAATAATAATTTTGTTGAAGACAACAAAAAGATTACCAAAGATAATATCTTAGTACTCCCCTAGTATATGCACCAGATTAGGGTTGAGGCGTAATTTTATTCCTATTTTCCTTATTTTAGTTCTATTACGAAATCAAGACTGTCTGTGTTAGCCTAGCGAATATACCCCCAGCCCATAGGTTCCAGTCCCTTCACACAACCTGTAAATTAGGCAAACAAAATTAGTCACCTCAATATTAGTACACATACTTCTGGAGCGCCGAAAATAGGCCTGAAATATTACAGAAGACTTTGTCTTTATAAATAGATCTTAAATTTTTACCAGAAAGTGACAGCAAATTTAAAGAACAATCTAAAGAAATTAACAATCTTCGAGAGAAAGATAGACGACAGTCTGAGGCAATAGAGGAATTGAAGGAAGGTTGGTTATATATTCATCAACATATTACAATGCGGGAAAATGATGATGCGCTTTGTGCTGACTATAAGTTGCTGCTTTAAGAAGCAAAATATAAAACTAAATCGAAAATATTATTTCCGTATATTTATTCTAAACATCTAAATGTTATTTTTTCTTCAGATTTGACCAAAGTTCTAGAAATGAATATTAATGTGGTAGAAGACAACAAAAAGATGAAGAAAGGTAAACTGTCAATTAATTTTTTGGCATCGTGATTTACCGGAACATATTTTTCTGAGTGTGTTTCCTTTAAATAGGCAAACTTCATTTGAAGTAGTCGCATTTTCATTGCGACATAGGCGCGCACATATAGGCGTTCTCGTTTATGGAATTTGAATAAAAACTTGTTGAATTAAGATTAAGGTCGTGTGCTTCTCGAAGAGCGAGCAGTATTTAGATTGCCCAAACTTTTTACTCTAACAACTGGATTAAAAAATTGGAGCGTGTTGAAAATCGAATTGTGCAGCTAAAGCTTCAGGGTCTCGGAAAGTGATTGATAGATTAAGTTTTAACATTCAGCAATATCCCGGATTGAGCAAAAACTTTCCGTTACGGAAAATCCTCAGCAACTGCGAACTAGGTCCGGACAAACGGCCATACCAACAACAAAGAGCCAAACAACCTTGAAACCAACCCCACCTCCAGGTAAATAATTCATTCAACCCAATTTGGCTGTTAATTTGCATCCGATTTATTATAAAATAAAGTATTAGTTATTTTTGCATTCGATGGGTCAGAGTCATGTTTGGGAATGAATGATGTTCTATAATTGAAATAAAGAGGAACATAAGCATTATTTCATAGGCCTCATTGCATGTCCCAACACGTCTAACTGAGTCAACTTGCTTGATTTATGTTATATTATACCTGGTTCTTGCCCAAAGCAACGAATTATCAATATTTATCAATCAATTTGTTTTAAATACAGTTGTTACATTTCAGAAAACTGCAAATTGAAAATCGGGAATATCTGTTATTTCGCTGTGATATATGATGAATGGAATGTCACCTACGACGAAGCAGTTAATATTTGTAAGAAACGTAACGCAGATCTTGGGTTGATTCGAGATGAAGTATCTTACAATGCGACCATAAATTACTTGGGAAGAAATATCCCAAAAGGAGTGATGTTGATCCATATATGGACAGGGATCCAGTTTGATCCAATCGTAAGTATATTATGTTTATGCTATCTATACTTATTTGGAAATTCATAAAGTAATATCGCCAAATAGGTGGAATGCGAGGTCAGATAGAGCCAAGGATAGTTTAAGTTAATATTTGAATAATAGGTATAATTGTGCAAAAGGTATATAGAAAACATGTTATGTATCGCCTGTTCTACTGGTCTAGACTACCAATCGAGCCCAATTTTGTATACCCATTTTTATTCATGTCATACGACCCCCAAAATTTACCCAATATACAATAATTATATGTCATTGGAAAGGTCTTCTAGAGCAGAGCTTCCCAAACTAGGGGCGCGGCCCTGGAAGGGGCCGCGAAACGAATTCTAGGGACCGCAAAGAGAACACCAATTTTACACAAAGTACTATATCTATTGCACTTTTTCAGACTCTCAATTTGAAATATAATCATTAAAAATAGTGTATAACGATAATTTCACGATTCCGAGTGAATATACATCATCACACCGTGTTTTCCCGAAAATAAGACATTGTCATCAATTTTCTTTTGAACAATGGAGCTCATTTTAGAGGAATGTAGAGAATAACGAGATTAATATACGAAATATGAATACCGAAATATGATACCGATTTAATAGCACGTTTCCATTCAAAATAGCGGCTACATATAGATTTTTAACAATTTAAAAAGTAGATTTCTTTCAACTATAGGACTCATTAGTTTTCGAACTTAATTGTATTGTGACGACCTCCAGAAATATGCTCAAGTTGCGACTTTCCGTGAAAAATACCGTACGTATTGATACATTTCAATGTAATACCTTTTTTGCAATGAGTTTAATATAAACGAACAAACAAAATCTAACAACAGTCAGTGAAATCAAATTTAATGGGCCATGATAGAAAAGCCTGCCTAATATATATATACGAAATCGCAAAGGAGATGTGGTGCGCAACGATTTTTGAACTAAGTAGAAATTATCTTTATCTACAGAAAACCGAATTTTCAGAATTAAACGGTAGAATCATCGCGCTTGCATTACAATGTATATTCTGATCGTAAGACCCGATTTGCGTGCTTGCATAACAATGCCGGCTTCAATCGCTATGCTATCGGTTCCGGAAGGCGATTTGCTCAGTGCGCCTCGATGCATATCACATATTTTATTACAACACCATCATGAAATTTTGCGACGCCCTAGCAGAATTGAAACTTCCACGGGATTAGGTAAACAAAAGCGCTATCGACGAAGTTTTTTTTTAAGGGGAGCGGTTGTATTAAAATCATTTTTAAAATTCAGGCTTGGACTTATTTTCGGGGAAACACGGTAGAATCATCGCGCTTGCATAACAATGCATATTCTGATCGTAAGACCCAATTTGCGTGCTTGCATAACAATGCCGGCTTTAATCGCTAAGCTAGCGGTTCCGGAAGGCGATTTGCTCAGTGCGCCTCGAAACATATCACATATTTCTAAATGTTTTATTGTTTCTCATTAAAGCAAATGATGTGTATATGAATAAAATTCATTTTATCGTTCTAAATTATTAACTTCCTGTTACGTAACAGGTAAACCCCAATGCTGCAATTTTGTTGGCCGCAGTTTATTCATTTGCTGAACCGATTTTATCGAACATGAGTGAGTTTTGAGCATTTTGAGGAAAAACTAGGCAGAGTTAAGAAAGAAAGATTCCCATAAAACATTTATTATGAATCATAAAAGCTTATAACCGTGAGACAAGGAGTATTCGCGAGATAAAACGCTTATTTATGTGAACTCACTTATTTTTTGTGATCAAACGACTCGATATTTTTATAACTTCCTGATGTTGTAAATGGCCCACTCTTATTATATTATGTAGCATATGAATGGAGCTTCAAAATAAGACCTTATCATACTAGCTTTTGTTATTAGTTAGCGCGCAACGCAAAGTATTATTGAATTATATTCTTGTCGTGCGACGTTTTTCTATCGCAGCGGGTTTTTCAAGTACACGCGTGAAATGTAAGCGATATTTTATCACTTCCAAATGTCATATAACGTTCATTCTTACATTTCTGGGTAGGAAATGAGCTATTCTTCCAAACAAGACCATAACAAACATTCCAGACCTCATGGTTTACACATTTATCCTACGCCTCTCATACAACCTGTCAGGTTGTGCGTCATCTTGATGCACATAAAAACGTTATTTTTTGACTTTCAATTGCCGTAACGAGCTTGTTCTGGTATTGTCAAGTAGGTAATGGAAAAATTTTCAAAACAAAACCCTAACCGACATTCTAAACCTAGGTCACGTGATTTTATATTCAAAAGGGGCACGAATGTTCCGGTCAGCCTAGATCAGGTACCCATGTAAATGAATCGTAAATATTTTGATAACATCTAGTTGTGATTCGTATTTTTGCGATGTTTCGAATTCGTCGCATTTGAGCTGTTCGTGCAGCAGTGATTGTTAAATAATACCAAAATTTGCAATGAAATCAAGGATGCAATTTACTGTAGTACAATAAATATTGATACTCAACATTAATTTATCTTATAAGTATATCAAACTAAATCGCGTATACAAATAATTGTGTTTAAACTTCAGCGAGGATAGAATAATTTCAATGGGCAATTTGGCAAAGTGCATGTCGCATACGAGTGAATTTTCAGCTATTGATTTGGGTATATGGTCTAAAATAATGTTTTTTATCTGTCACAGCGACCCTACAACACAGTTTCAGTGTTTTTCGCATTATTTTTAGCATTTTGTGATGCCGCCTTCAAATTGTTTTCGGTCTCAGTATTCAATCCTTTACATCTTTAATTATTTTTAGCTTCTTGTCGGCGATGATTCACACTTGTCGCACAGTTTCCCGCGAGAAAGATTAAGATAACATCATACGTTCTCGTGGTACAAGACGTAGAAATATACCAACGTATGTGATATAAATAACCACGTCACACTGGTGGACAATCGCAGGTTTTAAAAATTCAGACATGTTGAAATGTGTTTGTAGCGACTTTTTTGTTTTTCCGAAATTTTTAAAATTGATTTCGGGCCTCATGACCGCATTTGTCTGCGCCACAGGTTTTGATTTCTATATTAAATTGGAATCTTGTACCATTAACGACAGAATGCACGTCAAATGACAATATTACTTGTTAACACGTGATAAAACATGTAAGGGGGAAGTTATCTGCAAAACTGTTACAATGCACTTAACCGTATTACTAGGGCTGGGCATTTCGAATCGAAACATAAATTATTCGAATCGGTTTTGAGCAAAATTTCGAATCGAGCCTCGTTTATTTTTCTTTCCGGCAATGATCGAGGTGAATTCCTCAATTTTTTTTTATTGAAGCCATATTTTTCAACGCAATTCTGACATATGACAATTTCCTATAATGAGTTATTAACGTGTTTCTTATTGTATGAGAACTCTCATCAATCTGTTTTCAGTAACTCATTTCTTGACAAGACCAATTGCAATATAAAAGTCGCATAAAATATTATATATTTCTCCTAAGTATTTGAGATTCGAAAAAATATTATGATCAGTATTATTATTATGATTCGATTTTGAAATCTTCAGGTATTCGAAAATGCCCATTTCTAAATATTACTGAACTCTGATTGAACTAAGACATAGCTAGCGATAGGATGCAGATGAATTCTTATTCTATGCAAAATCTATTTATGTCCCTTTGCTTCATGAACTTGTGTATATGCATGGACGTGCCTCATGTGCCTACTACGTTTCGTGAAGTTGAAAATGTCGGCTGTAATAAGTAACAATAAAAGCATTACACAAATATCGTAACTGGATTTGCTCGCATAACTCGTGATCAAACTTCTTCTAAAAGAATAGTTTTTCATGCCAGGTCCAATGCGCTGTTCATTGGCGAGTTAATGATGCCATATTAAAGTGTACACAAAACCAATAATTAATAAAAAAAAAATTAAAATTTAATATCAATTGCGTGATTAAGTATGATTAAGCGATAACTGCCAGTTAACAATTCTTTCCTTCTCAGACTCGTGACGTCGAACCTGCAGATTCATTTATTGAATGGAGTCAAAATATATTTGTCGCAAAATTTCCACTTACGGGAGCCAAGTATAAGGATTACAGAAATATTTTATTTCTTGTTCATTCCAACCTGAATTCTCGTTTGGATGGGATGGCGAATGGTTATCCTGCTGGTAAGAGTCACGGAGTTATTTGTGAGATCCTGATCTGATGAAACGTCTGCTTGGTTGTAAAATATAAATCAATCGTTGCCTAATCAGAATTCGTACAATTTGTACAATAATTAAAGCATATAACAGTAAATATTAATTAATAACTGCAAAATAATATAATTAGAATGATTAGTGTTTGTTTAAAATAAAGATAATTCTTTAACATACATCTCACATTTTTCAAATTTAGAAATGTTTATCATATTTTATGAATTTGCAAACATTTTCGTTAAAACAAAATTTGATACTTAATTTGGAAATTCTATTATTAACTAGTAATAAATTCATCTTCTGTTCAATATTTAAATATTCCAACGTGGTTTACTTAATTTTAGAAGTAAGAATAAATTGACTAACATTACAAATTATAACCGGTAATAAATTTGACTTCTGTGTAGAACTTTTTTTTCTTTAAGACTGTTTCTCAGAGGGATCACAAAATTCGTTCAACTAATTGATGTTAGCTGGTCCAATTCATTTGTAGTGCCAAGACAACCATTTGCGTAAAAGTTCAATAGATGTTGAGCGATATAATTTAATAAGAAATCAATTTGAATCATATTATTTCACATCCCAGAAAACCGAGTCTCAAAAATATCGTGTCCCGATTGCTCCACGTGTCGCAAAGTTGTGAAACTACACCAAGGTGAACTATACCTGATTAAATTACTGTAATTGCTATTGGTCGAAAATATTATTTCTTATTTCGAAAATTCTAATGGCGATACATGCATTAGAGATATACAGAACCGCTTTTATTCATCGCTGATACTGGTACCGATCCCATATCGACGCGCCAATACTTTGAAAAGTCGATATTTCGATTAAATTTTGATTATCTTCTGAATTGTAAGGGACAGTTAGAATAAAATAGTTGTCGGCGAACTGAAATTATCACCATTTCAGATTGACGAGCAAATATTCCAGAACATAAGAAATTGCTATTTGTGATTCTAATGCATAAATGACATGTCATTAGAATCAATGATAACAGAAATTGCACCGTAAATTGCTTTGCAACCGTATGCAAAGTTGCCCTTCAACGGTTCGTTGAACAGATTAGGGTGGTCTCTGCAGACGTTTTGTTGTGCACAGATGTGTGAGAAATCTCGGTGTTTGATTTGAATAATCTACAAAATTGTAGGTATAGATGAATATATTCGGTAATTTCATCACTTGTTTCACCAAGTGCATTTCATTCAACATGTTCATTTTCTACCCATGTCTCATTTATAGATGAATTTGTCCACGTACATCTTATTCATCAGATGTTTCGTGTGTCAATCATTACGATATTTTGCCCATGTCGAATGAGTTGAACCGTTCAGGTATAAAAGATATGGGAGAAATAGTGGATGTGGCACAGACGGTGCAAATTGAACGCGCACATAAAAAGAATGATGGCATGAGGGAGAATGATAACAATCAATCAATCAATCATCATTTTATTCGTCAGCACAAAATAAACGTATCATAAGAAAAAAACATTTCAAACACAATATGAACTTAACTTAAGTTGTGTGACAGGAGTCGCGAGGGACCTCATAAGGTCTTCAGGCAGCGATACCTTAAAAGCTCGCTGATTCAGGTTAGTGAGCACAAAAAGTTAATGAAACACCAAAACACTTCAAAAAGTATTATAAGAAAAAAAGCAAAACAAAATATTAACAAATATGTTTCATGAGTGGTTTGTAAAAGCAAAACATTACAGTTATGAGCATGTTTCTTAAAATCCACAACCAACGATGCAACTTAATGCACTGTATAAATTCATCAGATATATAGAAAGGAAAATAAATGTCAAATAATATACTGTATTAATTACTCAAACGGGATCAGCCATTGTCCTGATCATCGGCATGGCGTAAGCAAGCAATTAAAAATTTGATTCTCAGAAAGTTAGACTCCATGCACATCTGATTGTCCCGTAGAACAGAGCGTGGATAGACAGAATCGAATGTTTGGTCAGAAAAATAGGGCTTGAGGGTTAGTTGCAAAGAAAAGCAGTAACGGTACAGGTACCGGTAATGGTTAATTATCAATTCAAAGAAAGGTAGTCACTAATGTACTTCATTTTAGTTCTCTCTTAAAACCATGATAAGACAGTGATCTTAGGGTACCTGATATATTGTTCCATAACTTCACACCAATGTATTTGATGGATTTCTGCGTTCTACATGATGTGTATCTCGGTACATGGAAGGCACCTTGTGAAGCCGATCTTGTGCAATACGATAGAACGCTAGTTTGCTTGGTGAAATAACCTACAAATACTCTTGGAAGTTTGCCGTCAAAGTACTGGTGGATAAGTTTCAATACCTCGAATTCATGGACGTGGCAAAGTTTCATTATTTTAAATTTACGGTACAAGGGGTCAAGTCTGGATCGTAAGGGTGCATCACCTATAGCTCTGATCGATTTATTTTGCAACACCTCCAATCTGCGAAGTAAGTTGGAGGATGCGCTTCCCCATGCTACAATACCATACTGAAGATATGACTGAAAGAGTGAGAAATAAACTAATCGCAAAGCCGATGTGGTGAAAAATTTTTTAAGTTTAAATAATATACCTGCTGTTCTACCTAGCTTGCCCGCGATGTAGTTGATGTGTGTTGCCCATTTTAACTGATTATCAATGTGTATGCCCAAGTATTTGTAGGAGTCCACATTATCAAGTAAAATGCCATTAATGGAAATTTGGAACAAGAACCTATTTCTGTCATTTCCATTGGAATTAATGAAAAGGGATTTGGATTTTGCAATATTTATAGTTAGTTTATTGATAGTCATCCAAGTTGCAATTTTTTGCATTTCAGAGTTCATGTGCATTTCTAGGTTGTTTGGTGAAACTGAACTACCGAATAATCCGGTATCGTCAGCGAAGAGTTTGACCAATAATTTGGTGGCATGAGGAAGATCGTTGACGAATAATACGAACATTAATGGGCCAATTATTGTGCCCTGTGGAATTCCGCATTGCACAGTTGAGAATGTGGAGCAATTTGTCCCTACTTGACATATTGCTGACGTGAGCTTAAATAGCTCTGGAAGAATTTTGATGCATGACCACGAATGCCATAATGGCTCAGCTTTCTAACTAGTATGTGATGGTCAACAGTATCGAACGCCTTTTTGAGGTCGAGGAATATTGCGCCGATATGTTCCTTTTTCTCAAGTTTTTCATAAAAGTAAGTTATCATATCTAGTATAGAATGATTGGTAGAGTGCTTCTCTTGAAAGCCAAATTGAGATTTATTTATGATTCTATTTCGATCTATGAATTGTGTTAGTCTGGTGTGTAAAAGTTTTTCGAATACTATGGTCATGGTTGAAAGAACTGAAATGGGACGATAGTTGGTTGCACATTCTTTGTCCCCAGCTTTGAACACCGGTGAGACTTTTGCAATTTTCAAACAGTTGGGGAAAATACTATGGTCTAGGGAGGCATTAAATAACTTACAGAGCATGGGGGACACTATGTCAGCTGCATGTTTCAAAAATTTGGTAGGTATATTGTCATATCCCACTGCTTTGCCATCTGAAAGGCTTGCTATAGTGTCAAATACTTCATTGATTGTTGCTGGTCTAAGAAATAAGGACTCTTTCACTGGATTTTTTAGATTAGTCAAGAACGAGTCATTAGAATGTGGAATCTTTTCAGACAGTTGTGGGCCTATAGAGGTAAAATAATTGTTAAGGTAATTGGCAATGCACACTGGATCACTTACTTTAGTCCCATTGTCAGTTCTCAGAACTTTGATTGGACTTTTTTTTTTCTTGTTTGATGTTAGCTAAATTCCCAATCAATTTCCAAGTGGATTTAATGTCACCACAAATTTGTTGGAATTTATTTAAGTAATACAACTTTTTTGCTTTAGTTATAAGAGTCTTAAGTAAATTACTATAAGTTTTATATTGTGTGTATATTGTGTGTATATTGTATGTGTGTATATTGTGTGTGTAACATGCAGCTCAAATGCAACGATATATACAAGTGTACTGTAACTATCATTGTTGCAAGTGGTGCAAGTAATACAATGGGGAAATGGATACATTAGACAAACGAAACAAGTGTGTAGCATATGAAATAACTTGAGTTAGATACATGCAATCTAAGTTACAAGTGCTAAACACTACATTTTATACTTGTTGATGTAACAATCCAATTTATGTTATTAAAAAAAGAATTACCAACAAAGATAGTTTGTATATCATAACTCGAAGTATGGTTACTCACCAAAAGATCAAGACAAACATGATAAATCCAATCGTCCGATTCAGTCGTCACTCATATCTATGCAAAGTTGTTGAAATTACATTAGGTATATAATTTACCGAAAGACCTTGTCCATTTCATCACGCACTGCGACACCAACAATCGGATCGAATTTTTTTAGTTCAATAGCCAGGAATGATGACATGAGAGAAAATGATAACATGCAGCACAAATGCAACGATATATACTAGTGTAGCCTACTACGAATATCATTGGTGCAAGTGGTGCGAGTAATACAATGGGGAAATTGATACACGAGACAAGCGATACAAGTGTATAGCACGTGGATCAACCCAACCCAACCCAATATCCCAAATAGGATAACTCGGTCGTCTAACTTCTGCATGTGGAGACTGCGTTCGCGCTATCCTTTTTGCATATTTGCTACTAATATTCTGTTGGCTTACGAGTTAGGTCAATGAGCGGCCACGCTGCTTTCATTAGTTGTGGCCGTCTCGATCCTTGTTTGAGTATGTTATATTTCTCATGACCAATCTCACAATCCATTTATTGATATTAGTCCATGACATGCTTTGCCTTATCCAAGTTGTTCCGTTATCCAGCCGACTCTAGATTTATTCCGTATTTGCAGTTTCACTGAGCGCCAAATTTTGGAAACAACATTGTTCGCTGTTTAAGGTATGTATTGGAGTTGTGGCTCTTTGTTTTGAATGCCCTGGACGAGATTTATCGGTTGCATTTGGCCAGTTATCACATCTGTGATCAGACTGGTGATTTTCGCGGCCCTCTGCTGATCTGCTGGAGTCCAAAATCATTTTCTGTGTTGTTTTGGTTTTACCATCGCCCTGAAGAGCTTTGCACATGCACATTGGTGTAATTTATAGTAACTGTGGTCACATTATGCTGCAACAAATATAGAATCTAGAATAATATATGAGTAATAATAGCATAACTATAGGACTTGATATACCGAGTGTCGTAGGTTAATAATGATTTAATCATCACTGCATTGTTTGGTTCACAATCTCCTACAGTGGGTTTCCAGGATTACCACAAATGTGCTGATATGTGGAAGACATAAACACCCAATGCTATGCTTTTGGTCACACCGAGTTGGAACTAAGCTATCTCATCATATATATCAGAAGTAAAGTAACGTTGTGTTCTGTTAGAACATAAAGGGGTGACCTGATGGGTATGGGTATACAGATCAAAGACGATGTAATCATTTTATCCCTACACCTACTACCGCGGAACATGAACGCAACCAATCTCATCTGAAAATGGGAGTCAAGCAAGCCACCTCGCTTCATTGTCATTTTTTTTTCAAGCCATATTAACCCTGTTTTTTCTTTCAAAATCTCCGAATTTCAAATTTTAAAATCTCCGAATTTCGAATTTTAAAATCTCCGAAAGAGCATTACAAATGATCTGAAATATCTGCAGATATTTTCAAATACAAAAATTGTGGTGCCCATCAATCAACTGTTCCTTTTCGACTTCCAAAAGATATCACAGCTAAATTTATTTCAAGATAATAAGACAAGTTTATAAAATTTATCCTACATTTAAAATCATTATATTCATAACTTACACTATATAACAATAGCCTAAATCTCCAAAGTTAACTTCGATATATTATACAATAAAAAATAATTAGATTAGCGAAATAGAACAATTCAAGATATAAATTCCATTAAATCTCGAATACCAATTATTTAATAGACTTGTATTTTGAATAAAATATATAATAACTATTATGTTTTAAATAAAATCATCAAAATATTAGACAATTAAGTGGTTTTGAGATTTACGCTTAAGAATTATCGCTTATTTAATCAAATGGGATATCCATTAGTAGAAATTCTTTTCTGAAAGGAAATGAATGATTTATATTTTATTGATAATAAATACATGCAGTCAGACTGATATTTTATTAGATCAGGATCTCACAAATAACTCCATGAAGCTTTCTGCTAGGAGCGCCATTCAACATCACTTGATATCTGAGATCCAGTTTGGATTTGACGAAAAGGTGAACATTTGTGGAAGTTTTGTGACAGATTCCAGTGAATGGATAATGTTGAAACCATTTGATGAAAGAATTTGTAGGTGTGACGTCACGAGTCTGGGAAGAATAAATGATAGACAGAGATTATCTCTTGATCATGCTTTATCACGGGTTTGGATTAGTTTCATAAATAGCGTTTTTATTCAATGTTCATAATTCAATATCGTTTAAGGCAGTGGTTCTCAACCGGGGGCCCTCGACTCCCTAAGGGAGAGAACTATTCAAGAATGACAATATGACAAGTACTGCTTTGCGTCATAGTATGAGTCCCGTATACAGGCGTTTGAGTCTTCTTAAATTAAATGATGTTGATGTTGATGTTTCAATTTAGGCATGGCATGCTTCCAGAAGCATTCAGTTCATATTTTACAGACTGTAGTTTTGTGCATTCATATGGCACTCGCTCTGCAACTAAAGGTGCATTCTTTATTTCTCGTACAAGTTCAAAATTTGCTCAAAATTCAATCAAAGTCACTGGACCCAGAATCTGGAATAATATTCCTGATAATTTTAAAACATTTTCGTATAAAAAATTTAAAATTGAGTACATGAAGCACATCATATCCAAATATTAATTAATGGAGGAGCCAGGTCTATCTTACTGGTTACTGATGACTCCTGTAGATAGATGTCAGGGAGGTTACCTATATCTGGTTTTCTGCCTATTGTATAAATAATTAGAAGTGCCTGCAAATGTATGTCATTGACCAGTATCAAACTATGCCTATATTTGTGACATATGCATATCCAATTATAGACTGTCCAACAATTTTTAAATTTATTTGCCTGCTATGCATACCCTATACAGCTGTATATAATTTTTAATTTCCCCCAAAATCTTGAATCACTACTATAATAGCATATTGTGATACCCTACATTTATTGCCTATATTTATGGATTCTCTTTGTACTTCTACTCAAAAATTAAACTGAGTAATGTATATTTCCATTTGTGTATGTTTGAAATTTTTGTCCTATTAGGCTTTCTATAGTTTGTGTATTGAACTATCCAGAAAGTTAGCCTCATTTCAATAGTCATAAATGAGAATTCTTTCTGGAATAATCGACAACATCAAACTCTGCAATTAAACATTTTGTTTACAATGTTATTTGTACCAAACACTACATGGATTGTATTATGTGGATCAAAATACCATTTCAGTAAAATTAATAGCATAACCTTCCAAAATGTGTGGCACTTTTAAATTGATGGGATTCTTTTAATGAATTTGATAACTCAAATATGATATGACTTCAATATACCTCCTGCCTACATTATATATCATAGCCCACTCTTCTGAATCGTCCATACTGTAATGGGTCGAATCAAGCCCTGTTCATTGCTCTTCTATTTATCATGTTTTGTATTATTGATACTTTGGTTATCCTTGTCTAAATGATGAGCCAATATGTATATTATGTATTACTACTTTTATAATTTGTATGGGGTCATGCCACTCTAGTAAGTTACAACTCCGCAACTTGTCGTGATAGGCTACTTGTTCTGAGCACACATGCTGGAACCCTAAATAAATGAATTGCCATCTTCGTACACAGGTGTAAAAGTAAAACTATACCTTGTCTGTATCCTTGAATCCATACACACTTGCAATTCCAATATGCTTGACTTGTGCATTCCAAGTGAATTGTTATTGTTTTCTCATCGTGATATTGGAGATTACTGTTTTTTTTTGTTTTTTTATGTTTGCAATCCTTCGATAATGTTACATATCGTGGGTTGTACTTTGCTGCTCTACACCTAAATCTCATCTTATATTGCATCCATAATATTTCCTAAGCAACTTTAACTCTCTATTTTTATATTTGATTACTATTATTTAAGGTTTCTATTTAAAGTGTCCCAAAGCGTGTTATAAAAGATTTGGGTTTTCTATGTTTGCAATCCTTCGCTATATTCACCAATGTTACATATCGTGTGTTGTACTTAGCTGCTCTAAACCAAAATTTCATCTTATATTACATCCATGATATTTCCTAAACAACTTTAACTCTCTATTTTTATATTGGATTACTTATTAAATGTCCATATTTAAAGTGTCCCTAATCATGTTATAAAATGTCACATTATTCATTTTTTAAATTTAATATGCCAAGCTTATATCTATGTTTGGTATTTGCTTTTGCAATCTAAAAAGAAACTCGTTTATATAAAAATTGGTTATCTGTTGGTCCAAAATTTCTCTTAGTTTGATTCAAGCGATGACCATCATGTAAAACAATTGTTGCTGTATAAATTTATATATTTGGTTTTAGCCTAGTCAGGTGTAAATAAAAATATATAGGCTACTGTGTCTGTATCCTTGAATTCATTTACACTTGCAATTCCAACATGCTTGACTTGTGCATTTCCAGTGAATTGTTATTGTTGTCTCATTATATTTTGGGGATGTTTTTTTTTCACGTTTGCAATCCCTCGCGATATTCACCAATGTCACATATTGTGTGTTGTACCTAGTTGCTCTAAACCAAAACTTCATCTTATATGGCATCCTTGATATTTTCTAAGCAACTTTAACTCTCTATTTTTATATTTGATTACTATTATTGAATGCTCATATTTAAAGTATCCCAAGTCGTGTTCTAAAAGGTTACTGTTTTCTATGTTTGCAATCCTTTGCTTTATTCACCAATGTTACATATCGTGTGTTGTACTTTGCTGCTCTGAAACCAAATTTCATCTTATATCACATCCATGATGTCTCCTAAGCAACTTTAACTCTCTATTTTTATATTTGATTACTGTTATTAAATGTTCATATTTAAAGTAAGCCAAATCATGTTGTAAAATGTTGCATTCTTCATTTTTTATTCCTAGGGCTAATATGCCAAGCTTATATTGCATTCATGATACTTTCTCTGTAAAATGAGTTCATATATTCTTACAATTCGATTATGACTTAAATGTTCGCCATCAAATTGTCCCAAATCGTGTTATAAAATGTTACATTCTTTATTTTATTAAGTGAATATGCCAAGCTAAAAGCTCATTTCCATCATCCCTAAATTTGTTAATCAAATCACAATACTTCTTCATTGAGCTCCCTGTTCAATCTAATTTGCATGAATGGCCTGGACTAATGAATTGTATAAGTTCTGTGTAATCACACTTCTATTTAATGTTTATATTCGAAGTGTCCAAAATCATTTTACATAGGGTCATAAAATATTGCATCCTATAATTATATTCCTATATCAAGTCAACTTTTTTGCCAACTGTGTGTTTTTCATTCACTTGATTTATAGTTGTATTGATATGTATTGATTATGTTGAATTTAATATTACTTTATTTATACTAAGTCAACACTTTACCTAAATATTTGCATGAATAGCCTTGTCCAAATAAATGCATTTTGTATACAACAAAAATCTGTATTGTTTCGATGATCCAACCCGTGCTTCTGATTATATAACACTAGTATGTGTATGTTATAATGGAACTCCACCCTTGTTCAAATTCCTGCATGTTCTGTATTAACTTATCTTCACCCATAAGTTTACAAATTACCCTAATAAATCGTATCTTATTAGAGTACCTGGGCATGACTAAGCAGTTTATATTTTGGAAATCAAATTCAATATGTGGCGAATTTCGGTCAGTTGAAAGAACCGTATACCATAGTTTTCGCTTCGATAATAAAACATGTAAATATTGTATATAGTAAACAAACATGAGAGGTATTAATAGAATGACACCGAACCTATTATTTATTTTTTATGCTTATTGAATTGGGTGGCATCTGACTCTGATGACCTCCAACGGTCGTATCGTTGCCTCCCAGTCATGTACAGAAAACGTTTTTTTAATTTTGTTATGTATGTATGTATATATTATTTTCTTGGTTTGACAAAATGAAATAAACTCTCTCTCTTTCTCTCTCTCTCAAATCATTATTAGCCATGTCTGATTATATTTCTTCACCGTGTATAGATAACCCTGAGATACTAACCATTGGATCAAAGTGGATTCCTGTCCATATTCTAATCCACGTCTCACTCTTGGGCATATTCTTTATCAGGTATTTCATAATCTCATTGTAGGATTCTTCGTCTCGAATCAAACCAACATCTGCGTTACTTTTCTTACAAATCGCATTGGCTTCGGTGTAGTTGACGTAATATTTCCCAAATATGACAGTGAAATAGCAGATATTTCCAATCTTTAATTTGCAATTTTCTAAGAAGAAACGGTTGTTTATTTAAAACAAACACAATAAATTAATAAATTTCAAAAATTCTTTGACATAGATGAGATCCCAAGGGTACCTTTTAGCAATGTTACTCTTCCAATTTTCCGCTTAGCCGTTCGTGTTTTTAGAAAAACACCCCCGCTAGGTTCTAAAATAAAAAAATTAGTAATTATCCAGTACGGGTTAAGAATGCTTTGAATTCTTATCGCAATCTGCTATCTGCTTAGCTAACAGAAACCCTGACTGGTTAATTACTAATTATCTTATTTTGACCGTTGACAGGGACTTTGTGCAAATGATCCCGTGTTATGCCAAGCAGTGAAGCCTAATATATAATGCTTCTGTTCTTTCTGGTGTGAAAAAAATTTTCTGAAAGATTCAAATAAGAAATATGACAAGTTAAGTAACATAACACGCTCCATCGAATGCAGAAATATCTCAATTTTTGTATTCACTCCCATGCAAAATGCTCCTCAAACATTCATAACCCACAGAATTTTGCAATCCATATGATAATTTGGGCAATATTAGTTATTTTAGTTTAGGTAATAATTCGAATAGGAGTTACTACTATATTTATTATTACTCTATCACTTAGTTTATAAAAGTATTTGTTTAATGTTGGATATCGCTAATTTGATAAGAATTTGGGCGCCGCGATGATTGATCGTTCATTTTTACATATTATCTAAATTCTAAACAATAAAAAATGCCAGAATAGTTTATGTAATACATAAAATGAGCTTAACCAAATAACATGGTATAGAATACTATTGAGCAGATCCCTTGTTTCCTTTTGTTCTTCTACCAAATTCTTATTAATTCCTTGTAATTCTATCACATTAAAAAAAACATTTGATAAGAATTTTGATAAAGTTTTTCACGTAATCTAATATTCTGTTGACTATTTGGTTGATTTTACCTTTCTTTACCGCGTTTGTTTTCTTTTGTTCATTCAATTCTACTGCCAACTTTTTAGTTATTTCTTGAATTTTAATCAAATCTAAAAAAAAAAAAAAATATATATAAAAGGCTATTGGCGGGCTCATAAATTTAAGCCAAAAGCGTTTGGGAAGTTAATTAAAAATACAACCAATACGGAGAAATTCGACTAGAAAATTCAACAAATTAGAAAAATCAAGAATGATATGAAGAAAAATTTAAAACTACCGTTTGTAATATAATGTATTAATTGTTGTTGTAGGCCATGGCAGTAAGCAATTGGTAATTACTGGTAATGTAGATGTTTAGCAGTAAAATGAAAAATGCGATGTGGTTTTCAAACATGTGATGATCTGTTAATCTAAGAGTTAACAAGATGTATGATTTCGCCTTAGATGATAAGAATAAGAACTCTTTTTTCTTTATAATATACACCAACCTTTCTTCAGCTCACTGATCTCAGCAGTTTGTTCCACAATTTTCTTCTGCTCATCCAACTCTATCGTACGGAGTTTGGCAAAATCTGATAAAAGAAATCGCATGCAAAAGGTAGCACACTACGATCTTTCAGCCACCGTTAAAGTTGAACAATTGCGAACGTAAAGTTACTCAATGTTACATGAAAGCAATCTCTTTTACTAACGTTATCTTTACAGTGTAGACTGTACAGTGTACAACAAGGCAAACTCGCTATTTTCTGCACAGTGAAGACTTGAAAATGATCATTTTTCAATTATTTACATATTGATCTGCTTTTAAATAGTTATTAAAATATATTTATATACTTCGATAGTAATTTTAGACCAACCTTCTTTCAATTTCTTTACTTCATCAGACTGTTGCATAACTTTCTCTTGGAGCTTATTAATTCCCATCGATTGTTCTTCAATTTTATTGAAAATTTCTGATAAAAAATAAAAGATAATTCTAATTCAGTATAATGACACAAAATTTTCTGAAAGACTCATTTTTTGTTCGGAATTTATTCAAAATCTACACATAAAATATTTGTAAGCAAATACTCATATATTATTCAATGTCAAAGTATTATATAAAAAATTTCGTATTTTTACCCTCTTTTCCAAAACCCTGGACGTTTTTCAATTTGTCATCGAGGTTCTCTTCCAGTTGTCTAAAATCTGATCTGATAATTCCGATATCTGATCGAACAAATGAATCAAATTTAATTACCTTATTGATTTCAATTCTATATATTGCAAATGGTATCGTTGTTTGATAGGCGTTCGTCAAAGAATCAAAATACGGTTGATAGAAGTAACTAACTATTCACTTCTCATGTCTCCCAATGTGATAAGGATTTCAACGGAAGTATCAAAACATTTACGGTTAGGCATTGTCTACCCAATTTAATACACTCTGGGAGACACGGGATTTCTAATCTGCAGAGTCAACACTGTTTAGTCAAACTCGTTGACTAAATGATTATGATTACGTCCGTTAGAATTCGTAACAATCATGGTTGCGTTTAATAAAAGCTGAATAAGGATGTTTTGATTTAAAACACTCAGAATTATTGAATAAAGCAGATACTTGCCTAAAGTATTCCTTGATACTAAAGGAAACAGATTTATAGAATTCTGAAATTGTGATGCATTATTCGATTTGCATGTAATCGGAAATTCTTTGTCATGCAGATGTTCATCAATGTTGAAACCTGGTCTGCCCCATCCAACAGCAACCGGATTACATTGTGCGATCTGGCAACCCGGTTTTGGAGAGCAGTGAAACACTGTTTCATCTTGACACCAGGATGGAGCGATGACGTAGATTATAATAGAAGCAATTGAGATTTTCATTTCTAGATTTTGATGTATTTGCGTGAACTGAAAAAAGGTTCACATCCGTATCTGGAACTTGAACTGTTACGGGTTCCATAAATAAGACATGGCAAAAACTTTTTTACAACTCCATGAATATGACTTGATTATTAGTAGGAATTTAGTAGAATTAGTAGAGTTTCTTTGTTAGTGTAGAGCCGAGGCCTAACTGATATTTTCGAATTTTTTGGACCTGAAATCGACAGTTTAATATGAAAGGATTGTGAAAAAGTAATTTGAAAGGATTTGCAAGCTGTAAGTAATTTCTAACAACAAAAACTTAACGTTTACTTCTATCCTTAAATTGTTTAATATCTCATACCTTGCTTTAAAATTACTCTAAAACTTTAGTTTTCAGGAAAAAGAACTATTTACCACTCTAATTCCAAGTAAGCTCTTTCAAACTATGAAAAACAGTGAAAAACCACAAAACACCTTGCAAAAACAGTAAAATCCATCAAAACCGCAAAAAATACCAAAAACCTTGCTTGTAAATCGAATCATATTCATTCACAAATATACCATTCATTACACTCACGTCAGGTTTTCGTGTTCGCCTTCGAGCACAAATGACATTTGTTATAGAAATGTCATGCAACTATAAATATACTATCAAAAGTGACAGTAAAGTTATCTAAACTTTTTGTAGGTTAACGAGGTAAAGATAAAATTTGATAGTTTTAAATAGTGTTTTATTCTTTTCAAGGTTCGATAAACATGCCTGAATAAATTGCCTATCGTTAATACGTTGTTTTTATACTGAACCAAAAGCAAGTATGGAACACAAAAAACGCTGTTATTAAAGCCCGATGTTTGAAACATAAAATCTGAAACTTACGATGTACACAATTAAAATCAGTCCTGACTGCATGTACGTTATTTTACATCGTGACTAGACAAATTTAAAAATACAGGCTAGACGCTCAATCAAGTCTGGGTAGTAGATGCCAAAGGATATATTGCGTGTGCCGCGAAAATCATTAGCAATATGCACGTTTTGAAGATATTGATTGATTCGTCATTTCAAATAGAGCAATATGCATAACTTGAATTTCAGAGTAATCAATGGCTTGATACAGTGATTAAATACGGTCCTCATAAATTTTTATTTATTTTTCAAAGCTTTTATACAAAATATCTATGGAGTAATCTAACGAGGTTCACGATGAATTAGTCAAATTTTGAGAAACATTTAACCTCGAGTGACGCTGATCGATAAGCAGTATTGGTTTTTCGCGCCTCCCTTTAACCTGAATGTAATTTTTACGTTCTTCCATTATATTGTTCGTACAAAGTGTATTGCCAGTATGGTGAAAATAAAATACTGATATCCCCCCGGGGAAATATGAAAATCTCGATCTACCTCCATAACTTTATGTCGAATGTAAGATTAATTGCATTTCAGAAAACTGCAAACCCAAAGTCGGCAATTTTTGTTTTTCTGCTGCTGTATGTGATGTGCGAGATATCAGTTACGAAGTTGCGGCTGGAATTTGTACAAAACGCAAAGCGAATACTGGTTTGATTCGAGATGGAAAGCCTATCATGTCAATATGAAATTTTTAGACAGAAGCTGGCGGATACGCATAAATATGTTTCTATATTCTATAAGGATTTAGTTTGATCCAATGTGCTAAATATGGGACCTTTTCAAGTTATCACTCCTGTAGCTACATGTATGGACTAATATGAAATATGGATAATCTGAAATATCTTTTGGATTTTTACAGTAGTTGTTGATCAGACCGAAGTCCAGGCTCTTTAATCTATTTTATACGTCGAGAATACAACGCTAATCGTGCTACTAAGCTGCTTTTCTACGTTAATTCTTCTGTGATACGCTGTGGAGAACTCGGGCTGTAGCTCGCCACATTAATGAAAGCCTTGTTCTATTAACCAAAATTGTCCTTGGAACTCAGCTTTTATCACCAGCATCATTTCACCAGCACTAAGTCATTTATCCAATAATTCATTTCGTTTAGGGATATTTCCTTCGTCTTTAAAGATAGCTAGAGTTATACCAATATTTAAGAATGGCAACAAAATAATCCCTCAAACTATAGACCAATTTCTGTCTTATCTTCCATTGGCATTACTTTGGAAAAATTATTACATACAAGAATGATCAGTTTTTGTACAAAATTTAACCTAATCAACAAACGTCAATTTGGATTTCAGACTAGCCACTAAACTAGTCATGCTATACTTGACGTGACTTCATACATTTATGAAATAATAGACAAAGGCGAGTTTGTCTGCTGCACTTTTTTAGATCTTAAAAAGCTAGTGGATCACAGTATCCTTACTCACAAGTTAGCACATTACGGTTTTAGAGGTACCGTGGGCAAATTACTATGTGATTACCTGGCCAATAGATTTCAATACGTTGAATTGGATTCCCATAGATCTCCGATGTTGCCCATTCATTGTGGAATTGTGCAAGGATCTGTACTTGAACCTCTTGCGTTTCTGAATTTCATAAACGACTTATCTAACAGCTCAAGTCTTTTGAGTAAATTATTTGTTGATGACGCTTGTCTGCTTGCCAGTGCGACAGATTTGACCACATTACAAGACAAGGTGAACACTGAAATAAATAAAATACATGACTGGATGACATGCAATAAACTTACAGTAAATATAGACAAATCTGAAGTCATGTTATTCAGTCCAAACTCTCGCATTAGACATATGAATTTTTCAATAAAAATTAAAGGCTCCAAATTGGAAATTGTCCCGTCTTATAAATATCTTGGGCTCCACATTGATAGTCAGTTAAAATGGAATACACACACCACAGAAATCCATAGGAAACTGTCAAGATCCGTAGGGATTTTAGGAAAGCTAAAAAACTATTTACAAAATTCCACCTTGAGAATTGTTTACTTTGCACTTTTTCAATCTCATATACAATACGCCATGGCTGCTTGGGGCTCTACAACTCAATCCAACATGCATAGATTAGAGGTTTTACAGAATAGAGCCGTTAGAATCCTCGCTAGAGCAACACATCGTTCGAATTTAAATTCTTCATACCATAAAACTAGAGTGCTTAAATTGACTGACATCTATAAGCTAGAAATCTCAAAAATATGCATAAATTTCAAAACAATCAATTACCAGCAGCTTCAGACAACTATTTTGTCTCGCTAAGTTCAGTGCATAAACATAACACTCGTTCTTCAACAAGGCGTAACTACTTTGTTCCTTGCTTCTCACTTGCCAAATCCCAAAAGTCCCTTAGATTCATACGTGTACGAATTTGGAATAACCTACCCCAAATTCTACTTGATTCGTCTTATGCCACATTAACTCGTAAATAAAATAAAAAACAGTATTAAAAAAAGTATAAAAAAATAGTAATTTCCACCTACCAGTCTAGTTGCAAAGTGACTCCTCCAGGATTACTTGCTCATACAATGAGTTTACTCGACTTGATCCACAGCCCTCAGGTCCAAGTCACCTGTAATAAACATTTTACTATTCTTAATAAATGGAATGAATTATCAATGTTTATTTGGCAAATGTTTCCGATATCTACTTAAAATACTTTTATTGATATATATTGTTAATATACTGACTCACTTATGCCCTCACAGATATATGTGGAGGTACATTTACGCTTTTTCAAAAAACAAAATGTCTCAAAAATTAGAGACAGCATATGCCAATGTTCTGATTCCAGTAGATTTGACAGCATAGTCTACTAGACCAGTGGTTCTCAAACTTTTTAAAAACATATGCTTAACGGTCCCCTTTTAGTTTGTCCGATGACTCGCGGTCCACTAAAGAAATGAAGCAAATAGCAACGCGGTGTTTCAAGCATTCATCTATTGAATGACATTAAAACAGTTCGATGAGATAGTTGCGCCTGCTCGGCTTCCACTAGTTTTTCTACCTTGGGTTCTGTTTTGGATAATGCAACCTTCATATCCAGGCTTGTCCATGGGACATATTTTTCTGTACCATTCCCATCTCTTGCCATAGCAATTATGCCTGTCCCATCCCAACAAGAGAGCTATGCTCAAGTATATGGACACGAAGTTTATAACGAAATGTTTTACCATCATTTCCCGAAAACCATATAAGGTATTCGTGTCCCGTGGGAAATACAAATGTGTGCTGTGCCATCCCATCCCATGGGGTTACCATAGGAATTTTGCTTCAAATCAAACTGCTTCTGTGCCGAGGTTAAAGTTGTCTCGCGGTCCCCCTAAAATAGCTTCGCGGACCCCTAATCGACCGCGGACCCCAGTTTGAGAACCAATGGTCTAGGTCAGGGTGGTCCAAGGTTGTGAGCTCCGCGGGCCACAAAATTATTT